GGGTACATACTTTAACATAATAAAGGCCAATATATGACAAATACACAGCTAACATAATACTTAGTGGTGAAAAGCTGAAACCTTTTCCTCTAAGATCAGGAATAAGACAAGAATGCCCACTCTCACCTCTTTTATTCAATATAGAACTGGAGAGCCTACCCATGGCAATCAGACAACACAGAGATAAAAGGCATCCTTTTTGGTAAGGAAGAAGTTAAACAGTCAGTTCAGAGACAACATGATATTATACATAGAAAACCCTAAAGACTCTACCAAAACACTTTCAGAACTAATAATTGGATTCAGCAAAGTTGTGGGATACAAAATTAATACACAGAAATATGTTGTGTTCTTATATACTAACAATGAACTAGCACAAAGAGAAATCTGGATAACAATTCTATTTACAATTTCATCCAAAAGAATAAAATACCTAGGAATAAACCTAACCAAGGAGATGAAAGACCTATACTCTGAAAATTATAAGACACTCATGAGAAAAACTGAAGATACAAATAAATGGAAATCTATCCCCTGCTCATGAATAGGAAGAATTAATACTATCAAAATGGCCATCCTGCTGAAAGCAATCTACAGATTCAATGCAATCCCTATCAAAATATCAACAGCATTTTTCAGTCAAGTAGGAGAAATAGTTCTAATGTTCACATGGAACCACAAATGACCCAAATAGCCAAAGCAATCCTGAGGAAGAACAAAGCTGGATTATACTCCCTGACTTCAAGCTATACTACAAAGCAACAGTAATCAAAATAGTATGGAACTGGCACAAGAAAAGACCCACAAATCAATGGAACAGAACAGAGTGCCCAGATATAAATCCACACATATAAGGCCAATTAATATATGATAAAGGAGCCATGAATATACAATGGGGAAAAGAAAACCTCCTCAATAATTGGTGTTGGTAAAACTGGACAGCAAGAAAATGAAACTGGATTACTGTCTAACTCCATACAAAAAAGTAAACTTGAACTGGATTTAGGACCTGAATGTAAGACATGAAACCATAAAACTCTTAGAAGAAAACATAGGCAACAATCTCTTGAACATAAGCATGAGCAACTTTTTTCTGGACACATCTCCCTAGGCAAGGGAAACAAAATAAAAACCAAACAAGTGGGAGTACATCAAACTAAAAAGCTTCTGCACAACAAAGGACATAATCAGCAGAACAAAATGGCAACCTACGTACAGGAGAATATATTCATAAATGACATATCTGGTAAGGGGTTAACATCCAAAATATATAAAGAACTTATATGCCTCAATATCAAAAAAACAAGTACCCAATTAAAAAGTGGGTGGAGAACCTGAACAGATATTTGTCCAAAGAAGAAATACGGATGGCCAATAGGCACATGAAAAGATGTTCTTCATCATTAATCATCAGAAATGCAAATCTAAACCACAATAAGATATCACCTCACACCAGTTAGAATGGCCACTATCCAAAAGACAAGAAATAACAACTGTTGGTAAGGGTGTGGAGAAATAGTAACCCTCCTACACAGTTGGTGAGACTACAAATTGGTACAACTGCTGTGGAAAGCAGTATGGAGTTTCCTCAGAAAAACTAAAAATAGAAATACCATTCAACCCAGTAATCCTACTTCTAGGAATTTACCCAAAGAAAACAAAATTCCTGATTCAAAAAGATATATGCATCCCTGTTTATTGCTGCATTATTTACAACAGACAAGATATGGAAGCAACCTAAGTGTTCCATCAGTAGATGAATGCATGAAGATGTGGTACATATATATACAATGGATTACTCAGTCATATATAAAAAAAAAGAAATCCTGCCATTTGCAATATGGATGGATCTAGAAGGTATTATGCTCAGTGAATTAAGCCAGGCAAAGACAAATATCATATGATTTCACTTAATTTGTGGAGTATAAAAACAAAGCAAAACAGAAGGAACAACACAGCAGTAGACATAAAGACACTGAGAAGTGACTAGTGCTTACCATTACCATAGAGGGGTTGGAATCAGTGGATGGGGAGGGTGAGGGCGATGAAGTGGCACAAAAATTCTCAATCAAAATATAAGTTGGTCATGAGAATAGTGGTACAGAATGGAGAATATGGTCAATTGTCCTGTAACATCTTTCTGTGTTGACAGATAGCAACTGCACTAGAGGGGTGAGGATTTAATAATATGGCTAAGTGTTGAACTACTGTGTTGTATACTTGAAACTAATGTAAGACTGTATATCAACAATACTTCAATAAAAATTAATTCTTTAAAAGTTAACTCAAAATGGGTCAAGGACTTAAACGTAAAACTTAAAAACTACAAAACTTTTAGAAAAAAAATATACAGAATAAAATCTTCAGGATGTAGGGCTTGGCAAAGGATTCTTAAGACTTGAGACCAAAAGCATGATCCATAAGAGAAAAAGTTGATACACACGACTTGGTATTCAGCTATCCAGGACAGCAAAGTCCATTGTCATTTATACATACACCTTTAAAGTTTATGTCAGATATATATGCAGACCCACACACCACACAGTATGACAGCCCTAAGGTTGGCTTGTATGAGAGGCCCTGAGAGCTTGGCTTGTGATGGCAAATCAGGTTAAGCAATGATGCCAAATGACTAAGTGTGACAGGTATAATGAAGGGCACATCATGATTAACATAACCAAAACCAAAACCAATCAGGGTCGGCAATTGGTAATAAAAGTATGGCAATAAAAGTAATAACAGTATTACTGTTATTGGTAATACAAGTAATAAAAAATGTAGGAGGCTGCTCTGTTTCTGGAGTATGTTAAAGGAACCTAGCAGCCATTGACAGAAGGCATCCTGCGATGTTAGACATGAAATGCTTAGAGATCACCAACTTGGATGTTAAAAAGCAAGGTATACCATTGGGAGGTACAAAAACGTACAAGAACATCCAAACACTATTTAATAAAAGAGGTTCACATTTGAAGCTCCTGGATAAAAACAGAGATGAGACTGTGGTTATAGGAACACATATAAATTAAGGGCAATCTGCTGGGTGTGGAACGAGAAGTAGTAGCAGAATAGTGCCAGCAAGAGCACAAGATCAACAATGGGTACAAACTTTCAGTTATGAGTAAGTTCTGGAGACCTAATGTACAGCATGGTGACTATAGTTAATAATTATGTATTACATACTTGAATTTCCAATAAATTAGCTAAATTGTTCTCACCACAGACGAAGGTAACTATAGGAGGTGATGGCTGTTTGATTGCAGTAATCCCTTTACAATGTATACACATCTTAAAATGTTACATTGTACACCATAAATACAATTTTTGTCAAAAATATTTTTTAAAAAAACCAACACTGGTAAGGAATGAGACCTTCCAGCTGATGCCTAGGATATCTTTGTGACTTTCCAGGACCCCAGTAATGTAGGAGGCTGCTCTGTTCTGGAGTATGTTAAAGGAACCTAACAGCCATTGACAGGAGGCATCCTGCGATGTTAGACATGAAGTGCTTAGAGATCACCAACTCACTGCAACGTGCTTACTGTAAAGTAAGAGAACTGAGGATGAGGCTAACTGGTGTCTCAGGTCCTAAGTCAAGTTCACAGCAAAGCCCTGGCTAGCACCTACATCTTATTCCTGTTGACTTCAAACACACGTTGCAGCCTTTAATTTGTGTTTAAGTACATAACCTAGATATAATGGGGAGGAGGAAAACAGTGGTCTTTCTGCCTCTTTGAATTGGGGGGTGAAGCTCTTCAAACCCCTTCCCTATGACTTGTAGTAAACCAAACCTTCATAAATACTTCAAATTTCCAAGGTATGGGAGGTGGATGTTCTCCTGGCCGCCTTTGTTTTTTAAGGAGACTTTCCAATGTGCTACCTCTCCACACCACGTGTTCTCAGTCACATTCCACAAAATCCACCCAATCATATTGGGCACCTCTCCAACAGATTAAATGGAGCTACCTGAATTACCTGTTTAACTGGCTTCTAGATGTGCCAACTTTTTCCACTGGCAACTTGCACCCAGTACTTCTTTAGAAAATGAAGGCTGAAACCAGCACACCCACTTTCTTCAGCTAAATAATACCACCTGCACATCACTGGTGACCCTGAGGCCTCTATCACTGTATCTGTTATAGATACAGAACACAGCATTTAGATTCACTACTGTATTTGCCAGAAAAGAAACTGAGCCCTCTATTATGTTTAGTACACATGGTGTGGGGGTTCACGGGAAAACAGTATAGCACAGAAAAGGCAGATAGTGAATCTGTGGCATCTTACTACACTGATAGACACTGACTGCACTGGGGTGTGGGTGGGGACTTGGTAATATGGGTGGATGTAGTAACCACATTGTTTTTTCATGTGAAACCTTCATAAGAGTGTATATCAATCATACCTTAAAAAAAAGAACTGAACCCTAGAGAACCTGCCCTGGGAAATGAAATAATCAATTAATAGTTAAAGTCAATTTAATAGTCAATGAAAATAGTATCTTATTTTTAAGATACCTGCTAAATCTCTGCAGAATCAGTTTCCACATCATGGTTATTCTACAAAACCAAATAAAGAAACCAGCCTCATAAGGTAAAATGTTAAATAGATGGTAGTTATTATTAATATGCTTTTTCAAAATCCATAGAGTGCCAAGTACACTGCAGACTGAGCTGTACTCCTGGAGTCTTCAATCATTCAGATGATTGTGTAAAGATCCACTTAACTGTTTTTCTCCCAAATACATCAACCAAGCCACCAAACACCACACACAAAACAAAGCTACTTCTCCAACCAATTTTAGTCTTGGTAGCATTTGTTGGGAATCTCAATGTAGGCATCAGTGTCATGTTACAGAAGGTGGATGGAACTGGAATAAAAGAAAGTCTACTGTTATTTCACAAAGATAAACTCCAGTTACTTTGTAAAGAAGGAAAAACAAATAATACTCCCAGAAGTTCCCAAGTCCTTGAATGCAGTAAAGGAAATGAAACAGAGACTACTTGCCTTAACAAATGAAGACTTTATTAAGAGAGAAGGACAAGACTGACGTTTGCCTCAATCCATCCAGGAAAACAAGCACAAAGACATATACAATACTTTGACTTAAAAATTATTCATAATATTAATGTTAAACCTGATGTTTAAAAAGAATCAAATGGTACATAAGGTATAAAAAACAAACCATAAAACACAAGTTTGCATAGGTGAATTAATGCAGATGTATAACTGGCATTTAGGGGAGGCGTGAGCACTGGAGAGCCCTGACTGACGTTACCACCTCCACCCCTGCAAGACATAGAAAAGTCCCCAGCACCGTTTCTCGTTTGCCTCAGTGAGGTCATGAGCAGGAACAACTTGTGCTGTTTGAAGGTGAACTGAAATAGACTGCTTCCATCAGCCTAGTCCAGATGGGGTGCATCCATACCCACCAGTACCCAACACCAGTCACCTTTAAGGCATCCACAGTGTCCCTCACAGTTTCATTTAATCTCTAGATAGGCATGTGGTTTGAGGTGGCCTGTTTTCTGTCCTCAGAAAGGCACCTGTATTCCATTAAGGTTCTGCTCAATTCCATGAAGTCGCTATTTCAAAGCTGCCTTTCCCTCTGGGGCTTGGCTACAAATTGATGAGCACTTTTGGATGACATCTCACTTATTTTTTAAACGTATCCACATTCCAGATGTCAAAGGGCTTCTTGCCTGGGCACTGTGCAGTCTCTCTCCCAAGAGAGCACATTTCCAAATGGTAAGATACACAGCAATACCACCTCCAATTTCCTGAGCAACTCTTGTATTTTGTAATTCAGCACCTTTTCAGAATACAGCATTGTGCTGGAATAGATTCTTTTTCAGAAAGTTCTTATATCATTTTTTTTGCTATCTTCTCACTATATCTCATCGGTATTTACAGCATTTCATGAAATGAATATTGGGTTGCCTTTAAGAGGCAGGTGAAAAATATAGCTTTTCTGAGAAAGGGCATTTGGCTTTCAGTTTATAGCAAATGAAGTTACAGCCTCCAGGGATGTCAGAGGCTAATTCAATCAGGAAAAAAAAAATTCTGACATCAAAATCCTTCTCACTAAATTTACCAGCTAGAAACTATTTTAGTAATTAAAGTCTGAAATTTAGTGCAACAAAAACATCCTAATACATTATGTGTAATAGTATATTCTCAAAACTGCCTTTGCTATTCTTAATCCTTGCTTTTTAGTGAAGAAAATGTCACTCAAACCCTGTCTTTCAGTTCTCCTATTCTTTATATGTGAACTCCAGCAATGAATAATTGAGCAGTCAGTTACACAATTAATTATTTCCTTGTCTGAAATGCTGAAACCAGCACAGTGCTGGCTCCCTATGTAATGAAGAGCTACTCGAAAAGAGAAAAACATTTTCTAGTTTGCTGAGAATACACAAAAGGCTATTAAGTCCATTAGGAACATGTTTCTAGGCAGTGTTCACAAATATAAAACATATATATATATATGGTTTTAGGACCATATATATCCATAAAATCAACATGATGACCTGAGATGACTGTGTTAGTTTGTGGCATCAAATACAACCTAAAAAAAAAAAAACACTCTGGTGTCTTCCTTACCACAGCAAAAGTTTTCCCGGTTACTTTTCTCTTAAAAGTAATAAAATAGAAATAGATACTTCACAACAACAAATCTCCATTTCAAGTAAATGTCTTTTGTTTGGTTTTTCTCCTTGTTTGTTTGTTAATGGTATGTACTTCAAGAAACAAGTGTTTGGTAGAGTTCTTACAAAACAATAATGAGCAACTTCACTGCTTATAGAACCTTTGGAAATATCTTCTACACAGTCACTGTAGAAAAGGAAGACAGTCAACTCTCAATTGTCCAGGAAACGATCACATGCAAAATCTGGCCAGGATATTCGCACTCTCCTTCACCAGCCTTTTTGGTCATGCCACTGCTCATTCATAGACTGAGAGACACAATGAAATGATACGTCTCTCAGTGTACAATGGGTCCTACAGTTCAGCGGGAAAAGGCCCAAAGCTTCTGGTGGCAAGGATATTTGTGGATCATCTGTGCATTTTATATCTCAATGGAGAGCTGACAGCCATTCACATAAAGGAAGTATGGCACTCTGACCATGGTAGGAATAAACTCATTTAAGGCAATACCACTGCTCACAGACATTGCTGGCATGAAGTACGCATCTCATCGGAAAAGTGACTTGGTGAGAAGTGAGATTTTTCCAGTTTACCCTTCCTCCTTGACTTCTCTAGAGATAAAGTTCACCATTTCTAACAGTAATTAAATGGTAGGAGCAAGAACAGCCTCAAATCTTCACTTTAATAACCTCACGTTATTATCTGGGATAAACGGCATTCTCCTGCCAGGAATCTGGATGACACTCTGCCCGCTCAGCATGATCAGGACAGTCTCCCGTTTGCTTCTCCCCGCCCGTATGACCTACTGTGGGCCACGGAGGGAAAAGGGCTCCATCAACAGTCAGATAAACAGTTTCAGCTTTAGGGCTCACAGGCACCGCCAGATGTGAGGGGAAAATGGGACCCTTTTATCTAGTCACTTCTCTGACTGTGAGCAAAAGTGATGGACTAAAAAGCTGCTTTTTCTTTTTGGCTGAAAGGGCAGGTTTTGATTTTTCTTTTCTTGACTGTTCCTAAAAGCTGACATTAAGGGAGCATAGCACACACCGTGCGGCGAGCTCTATCTGAACAGCGCTCCCTTCCCACATGAATGTTCCTACTCAAGTACTATTTTCCCAAAAGGGGAAAAAGCTCTTAAGTGCAAGCTCTGTTCTTTACTCAGGTCTTCAGAAAGCTGAGTACACAGGGATCTCACTCTTTTACTAAGCTGAAGATCCTATGGTCAGACACCACAGTTATCTTTCAAGAAAAGTATCACTGAATAAACAATGTTGGTATTCCCCAAAGTGATTTTTATACAAAGGCCACACTCATTGAAAAATCAAGGCCCTAAAATGTTAACCACTTATGTGGTAAACAGAATGCACCATATTATAGCAGGCGTTTTAAAACAACAATTTGGCACAAGACAAAAATCTCAAGAATACTTGACAGGCACTAAAGAAAAATAATAATCAGTTAAAAGTTAATTAGTTTTATACTGAACAGTCCTGACACTGATGGTAAAGTATGGGCAGTCAGCAATATATCTACTCAGCTGCCAGAGTTGAGAAGGAAAGGAGAAAATTAGTTTAGTTCATAATTTTCTATAGTGAATTTGGTGGAACATGAGGCCCAAGTCCACACACTTTGGAATCTATGTGGATCTAGAGCTAAGTGGGCATGCCATTCTGAAAAGATTTTCTTCCTGGGAGCATCTATCCCTATCTTCTTTTATAATTTAGATGCTTCTCTATGATCAAAACCCATGCGGTTCTTTTTTTTTTAGTTCATCAGTCTGTTGTTGGTTGTCGTAATTAGTAATTCAATGAAATTTTTTGAGAAATAGTAATCAACAGTCTGCAAAGTCACTTTCCAAAAATCTAATGTTCTTTTAAAACATGTGCGGTAACTGTCCAGTCTGCCAATTATGTCTAACAATGGTTTGACACTAGAGTCAAATTTTTTCAACTCAAAACATTTGATCTGACCCTTACCTAACTTTGCCTCTAGGCAATGACTTACAAAAGGTCACAGTGAGGGCAGGAGGTGTACATGTCCAGTAACCCTATGATAAGATTCCGTAAGATATTGTGCTCTTTCAAGCAATACTGGCCTCCAGAGAACAGGGGTATAGAAATGGAAAGATTTTCCAAGGCCAGAAATATTAGTTTATATCACAACATTAAAGCATTATACACTGTGGGCCTAAAAACAAAACTGTGTGTGCTCCAGCAGTAGGAACAGAAAGAAAATAAATGCTTCCATATTTACATAAATGTAACAAAGAGACAAGCAGAGAACACAGTGAAGAATGTTTGGCAGTTCCTTAAAATACAGTTGATGGGTCCTTCTATAGTCTTAAAGATAATAATTACATTATTTGAATGAAAATAAGAGGACTTAACTAGTTAAGTTTGATTTCTTTCTTCTTACAGGGTAAGAATTTCTCTGATATTCTTTAAAAAGTGTTTGCTTTACAAAAAATAAAATAAAAATATTTTTAGATTTTGATCTTTTAAAACCCCAAAAAAAAAAAACAAAAGTTGGGTGTCACAAGGTAGCTATCACCTTTGGTCACTCCCTAAAACACCTGAAATACTGACATCCTGGTTAAGTGTTAAGTGGCCTGAATGTTTCTGAATGAAATACCTCCCGTTAGCACTATACAGTAATAAATATGATTGGTAAGGTACAGGAAAGGCAAGAGAAATGCAGTTTTAAAAGTAAAATTGCTCATTGTATGAGATAGAAAAATAAACATTTATAAAATAAAAATATGGCAAATGATGTTGCCCATCTGCCTAACTATCAAATAAAAATACACTGTGTTTTCTAATTTAAAGCTACCATAAAAAACTTTTTAAACATACAGCAAAATCACAGGGCAGACGAAGAAAAATATAGCATTACTATTAAGTCAACAAGACCAACAGTTAGCACATTGAAACCACCTCTGGAATTTGACTTTAAGGCCAGGACCACCATTTTGCCTGCACTTGCCTATTTAGATGATTTTGTTCATTCATTTCATCATGGCCAAAGTCCTGTTATTTTCCCTTTTCCCAATTCTCCAAATGACTCTGTTTCTTAGGGGTTTTTTTTTTTCTAGATTAGTATTTCCCCCAAAACTTAACTCTCATATATACCTTTTACCCAAATCCCTACAACACATAAACTTTATGAAACTAAAGATATTTCTCAAAATTAAAGATCCAAATCCACTCTGAGAAACTACTCTAAATAGCTTCCTGAATATTGTCTGGCTTTAAAAAATATCTGGAAAAATAAAGCAAACAGAAGGCAATTCCCAGTGGGAAAAGAAGAGATTGACTACATTTTTCTAGTCACCTATATATTTCTTTCCTGAACAAACACCATACTAGAATGCCAAAAATATTAGATCTATACAATGAAAAATAATAGGAAGTCATATTGAAGGGGTATTTACATACATATTGCATGACTACTGTTCATGTGAACTCACCAGTATGGGGAGAAAAGCACTTCCGTGAGTTCAGAAGATAGACAAAGACTTCAGATTTCTTGAAGAGGGGTTTAAAGGCCTTGTACAAAGGAATCCAATGCCATGTATCATGGATGAACATGCAGAACCAGATACTTAAAGAACTACATCAACTTCAAGTTGAGTTAATCTCATTATTGACAGATGCACAAAATATTTTTGAGAGGTTGCCAACAAATATTGCTAAGTTTTTTTAACTAAGAGGAAAACTTCAATCTATGGCCAGAGAGAATAATCTCATCATCACTTACATAAACATCTTCCCAATTCCATTTCCCTTGACTCTATCAATCGATGTGGTCAGAGTAACATACTTAAACTATTTCAGGTATTTTTTAAATTACTCTATGATTGTAACTTTTTCTCCTTTTCTTGAAAAGTATAAAATGCAAAAGGCTCTTTCTTTCAATATAGCATACACTAATGCATGAAAAAAAAGCTATTTCTTACAGTTTTTATTTTGCATTGCAACCAAACATTATGTTTTACTTTGATCATTACCTCCACAAAAATTCTAATTGCTAAATAAAGCCTAATCTCTAGATATCAATATTCCATACTTAACAAAAATGGCATTTTACAGAGCTCTTAGACACTACATCCCAGGAAGCATATAGAGCAAAGAGGTGGCCAATATTAAGACGCTAGATTTTCCTGTGCTGCCCATGTGATCAGGAATAACGAAAACATTTCAAATGCATTAAAGTTATTTATGGTCAGAAAAACATTTGAGGATAAATCCCAGGAATATGAGCATGGGAGGAAAAAAATAAGCCTGGAATGCATTCTGTATCATCAAGTAATATTTGCTACAGTGAGTCCATTTTCAAGGCAGATTCCTAGGTTTTTACTGCTTATGATGGAAACCTGGGGAGAGGAGGAAAAAAAGAAGAAACACCATTAAGGAAAAATCTTTGAAACACTCAGTTTTTCTCCCTGCTCAGACAAAATAATTTAACTTTATTTCTTTGCATCTCAAGTGGCTCATGTTTTCTTTGTTTACAAATGTCCTCATTGTAAAATATTAATATACATAGTCATTTGTTGTTTTAATATTGTGTACCAAAAGCATGTCAAGGACAGGAAACCACCCCCTAAAAAGTAATGCACCCATATAATTTGAGGAAACAAAAATCATGAGCTACTTCCAGTTAAACAACTGATGTTAAAAAGCCCATCAATGGATGGAAATACTTAACATAAATGTTAAGCAGTGTATGTGTTGTTTTGATCATATTCAACTAATCTCATCTTTTAAATAAAGTCTTTTGTCTTAACCTCAACACTTGATGAGTATCAAAATGGAGGTGGAAAAGGAGAGCTTTTTAAAAAATACAACTAACTGCCTAGCAACTCCTTCGCCCAGAAATTCTGATTTAATTAGTCTCGAGTAGCACCTATACATTGGTATTTTGTAATGACTGCAGAAAAGAAAATTTAAAGAAGTCTGAGAAAGCTATCATTAGACTTGGAAAAGGATAATAAAATGTCACCTAAGACATCTTCAAAAACTGTTACAAATAATAAACAGCAGTTAATAACCTAGGAGGCCTGGGGGAAGATGCCAGAATGGGAGGACCCTGATCTCACCTCCTCCCATGGATACACTGAAGCAACAACTACATGTACTGCAACTCTGAAAGAGACCTGAAGACTCTTCATACCTAAAGACATAAAGAGAAGGGAGAAGGGCAGGAGGGGCAGAGATGTGGCTGGACTTCAGCTCTCCAATGCCAGGTGCAGCAACCCATAAGCAGGAGGGATAGCCCAGGCATGGAGTTATGGGACCCAGTTTCACACTGGGCAAACCCAGCTCTGGGGACCTGCAAAGGGAAGACAAGCCCTCATAACATCTGTTTTTGAAAAATCAGTGAGGCTTAGCTCTGGGAGAGCCAGAGGGCAACATGAAACCAAGCCTCTGCTCTTAGAGGACTGGTGATCTGTATCAATCAATCTGAGACCCAGCACAGAAGCAGCAGTTTGAAAGTGCCTAGGTTATATAAATGAAGGACATTATGGACTAATTTAAGGACAGGTGGAGGGACAGTGATCGGCAGGAGGTTTCTCCAGGAATAGAAGTGCTGGCAGACACCTTTTCCTTGCCCTTCTTCAGCCTAGCTGCCAGGATGTCGACAAGAGCCAGTTCTGACACTCTGTAACTACCAGGCTAGCACTGCTTGCCATACCTGGTAGGCAAACCCTGCTGAGACCAGTGTCCCTTCAGAGCAATTCCTGCCTCTGGAAGAGGGAAACTAGCCCTTCCCACCAGCAAGCCCACAGTGGATACATCCAGGCCTCTCAGGCAGCCACACTGGGACAAGTCCTGCCCACAAGTGCACCCACCATATAATGGTCAACAACTGCCTACAACTAAGCTGAGAACCAGCCCTATCCACCAGCATGCCCATGGCAGTTGCAGCCCAGCCACAACAGAAGGGTTCATGCAGGGTACCCACACAGGATACCTCTGGCACACCTGATTCTGGAGACCAGGGGTGTTGTGCTACTGGGCCCCACTGGACAACTTCTGAAAGCCCCTATTTTCATAGCTGACCTACCTAATACATTGAAACAAATACAGTCAGACAAAATAAAGAGCAAAGGAATATGTTTCAAATGAAAGAACAATAACATGTAGAAAAAGAGCTAAACAAAATGTAGAAAAGCAATCTAGCTCATAATGAGTTCAAAGTAACGGTCACAAAGGTACTCACTGGACTGGAGTAAACAGTGGATAAATTCATTGAGATCTCCAACAAAGAGATACAAGATATAAAAATGAACCAATAAAAGCTGAGAAATACAATTACTGAGATGAAAAATACACTAGAGGGAACCAACAGCAGAGACAGGATGCAAAAGAATGGGTCAGCCATCTGGAAGACAGGGTAGTGGAAAGCAACTAAGCTGAACGGCAATAACAAAAACAGAAAAAAATTTAAAAATGGGCTGATGTAAGAAATCTGTGACAATGCAAATACAGTAACATTTTCATTCTGGGAGGGGTTCCCAGAAGGAGGGGCAAGAGAGAAAGGGGCAAAAAACTTTATTGAAGAAATGATGGCTGAAACCTTCCCTATCCTGGGGAAGGAAACAGAATCCAGGCCCAGGAAGCACAGAGAGCAGAGAACACGTTGACCCTAAGGAGGTCCACCCTAAGATGCATAATTAAAATAGCAAAAATTATAGATAAACAGAGTCTTAAAAGAAGCAAGAGAAAAGCACACAAGGAAAACCCCATATGGCTTTTAGTTGGTTTGTCAACAGAAACTTTCCAGGCCAGAGTGGTATGATATATTCAAAGTGCTGAAAGGAAAAAAACTACCATCAAGAAAACTCTGCCCAGAAAGGTTATTATTCAGAATTGAAGGAGAAAGAGTTTTCCAGATAAGCCAAATTAAAGGAGTTCATCACCACTAAACCAACTTATATTTATATAAGAAATATTAAAAGTACTTCCTTAAGTGGAAAAGAAAAGGCCATAACTAGGAAAAAAAAGTTATGAAAGGAAAAACTTCACGGGTAAAAGCAAACATATAGTAAAGGTACTGGATCAATCACTTACAAAGCTAGTATGAGAGTCAAAAGACAAAAGCAGTAAAATCAATTATATACACAAAAATTAGTCAAGGTATATACAAAATAAAGAGATACAAAATATGATGTCATATACATATAAAATGGATGTGGGAATAAAAATGTAGTACTTTGCTGTGTCCAAATTCAAGCGACCATCAACTTATCATAGATTGCTGGATACAGAAGATGATATATATGAACCTCATAGTAACCACAAACCAAAAACCTATAATAAATACACAAAAAATAAAAAGAAAGGAATCCAAGCATAACACTAATGAAAGTGATCAAATCATAAGGAAAAGAGTGCAAAATAAGAATAGAGAAGAACTACAAAATGACCAGAAAACAATTATCAAAATAGCAATAAGTACATACTTACCAAAATTATTTTAAATGTATATGTATGTACTAAATGTTCCAATCAAAAGACATAGGGTAACTGAATGAATAAAAATATAAGATCCATCTATATACTGATTATAAGAGACTCACTACAGACCTAAAGACACACACAGACTAAAACTGAAGGGATGGAAAAAGATATTCCATGCAAACAGAATTAAAAAAATAAACAAACAAACAGGAGTAGCAGTACTTATTATACAAAACAGAGTTTAAAACAAAGACTATAACAAGAGACAAAGAAGGGAATTATAGAATGGCTATGGGCTCAATTCAGCAAGAAGATACAACAATTTTAATTATCTATGCATTCAACATAGGAGCACCTAAATATATAAAGCACGTATTAAAAGACATAAAGGTAGAGACAAACAGTAACATAGTAGTAGACGGGAGTCTTTAACACCCCATTTACATCAATGGATAGATCATCCAGAGAGAAAATCAGTAAGGAAACAGTGGCTTTGAAAGACACATTAGATCAGATGGACTTTAACAGATAAATACAGAACATTTCATCCAAAAGAAGCAGAATATACATTCTTTGCATTCTCTAGAAAGACCACGTTAGGCCACAAAATTAAGTCTCAATAAGTTTAAGAAGACAAATCACATCAAGGATTCTTTTTCAACCACAACGGTATGAAGCTAGAAATCAATTACAAGAAAAAAATGAAAAAAAAACAAAACAAAACAAAAAACCCCACAAATGTGTGAAGGCTAAGCAACATGCTAGTAAACAAATGGATCAAAGAGGAAAAAAAAATACCAGTAGATAACTATGGCAAAGGAGGCAAGAATATACAACTGAAGCCAGCCACTTCAAGGAATGGTGGGAAAACTGGACAGCTACATGCAAAAGAATGAAAGTGGACCACTTTCTTACACCAAACATACAAATAAGCCCAAAATAGATTAAAGACCTAAATGGTAGACCTGAAGGCATAAACTCCAAAAAACAAAAAACACAGACAGAAAACTTGGACATTAGCCTTAGCAATTTTTTTTGAATATGTCTCCCCAGGCAAGGAAAACAAAAGCAAAAGTGAACAATTTTGGGGACTATATCAAACTGAAAAGCTTTTTTTGTACAATGAAGGAAACAATCACCAAAACGAAAAGGCAAACTACTGAATGGGGAAAGATATTTGTAAATGATATATCTGATATGGGATTAATATCCAAAATTTATAGAGAAGTCACATAACTCAATACCCTAAGTAACAAAAATAAAATAAATGAAATTTAAATAATCCTATTAAATAATAGGAGGACCTGAACAGATATTTTTCCAGAGAAGACATACAGTTGGCCAACAGGCACACGAAAAGATGCTCCATATCACTAATCATGAGGGAAATGCAAATTAAAACCATAATGAGATATTACCTCACACCAGTCAGGATGGCTACTATCCAAAAGACAAGAAATAACAAGTGTTGGCAAGGATGTGGACAAAAGGGAACCCTTGTTCACTGTAGGTGGGATTGCAATTGGTTCAGACACTATGGAAAACAGTATGGAGTTTCCTCAAAAAATCAAAAATACAAATATCATACAATCTACTATTTCTACTTCTGGTTATCTACTCAAAGCAAATGAAAAAATAATTTGAAAAGATCTAAGTACCCTTATGTTTATTACAGCATTATTTACAATAGCCAAGATAGAGCAGCAACCTAAGCATCCACAGATGGATAAATGAATAAAGATGTGGTATATATACACGATGGAATACTAACTCAGCCACTAAAAAAATTGAAATCTTGCCATTTGCGACAATATGGATGGTCCCTGAAGCTATTATACTAAGTGAAATAAGTCAGAGAAAAGTAGATATCATGATTTTACCTACATGCAGAATCTAAACTACAAAAAAAAATGAATAAACAAACAGGAAGACTTATAAATACAGAGAACTAACAGTTGATTGCCAGAGGGGAAAGCGGTGGTAGGACAGGAGAAACAGGTGAGGAAAATAAGACATACAAACTTCCAGTTATGAAATAAATAAGAATTGGGGATGAAAAAAAACAGTACAGGGAATATAGTTAATAATATTATAACAACTTTGTATGCTGACAGATGATTACACTTATTGTGAACATTTCATAATGTACACAATTATCAAATCACTATTTTGTAAATCTGCATCTGATATATGTCAACTATAAGTAAAAAAGGAGACAATAGTTAAAGAAACATGAATAAAATTGCCTAAAAAGATAAAAAAAGACTTAACAATATTTGTAAAGTCTACTGCACTCTGCTTTCATAAATTTTACTTACATGATCCTCACAATGCTGACACTATTAAAATCACCTCCATTTTTAGATGAGGAAATTAAGAAATTACCTTTTCACTGTCTCATTTTACAACTATCATAAAAATACATATAAGTAAACATATATGCTTGGAAGAGAAACTACATCCAACTATTCCTTTCATTTTAAAGATCTGGCCAACTTAGACCTCATTTTCTTTTCCCCATTTTTCTTATGACTAATATTTTTGAGTGATGTGTGTACTTTATATCTAATTAACAGAGTAATGGGTAGATGCAAATAAAAGCCAGGATAAAAAAAGCCCAGTATATCTAAATGGGGAATATAGTTACCCTTTAAGAATCTGATAAAAGCCATGAACTCTCTTTTCTGGAGGAAAATGCAAACAGACAGACAACTTTGCATTCAATTAAGGTACCTTGTTTTCTGGGATTTTTAAAAATCATTTTTTGTTGTTTTCTAATAAATGAAGAATACTATAATCTGCTAACGGAAGGGTCACTTATTTTTCCACTCTAGTGATCTATATAAGACAGCATGATTTTCCACCATAGCATGAGGATTATAAAAAAGGATCCTAAATTTGACCATATGCATTTTTCTTACCTTTATGAGAGGACTCGATTTTGAAATGACGTGTGGAATTATGCTGGTTTGTAAAATGAGTGTGATCCACATCCTCAGCATCTGCCATGGCAGGTGGTGGTGGCCTAAAGGAAAGTCAGAATTTGAAGAGATATTCTCAGTGGTGGTAACTAGGATTCCACCTTTCATTGGATCACATGGTAAAAACAATTTTAGTAGAAATGCAAAGCCACAATGTATTAGAATTCTCATTTTCATTCCTGGCCAGTTGACTGAGTTTGGATAAATTGTTTTTATCCTACTGTTCCTTTGTTTTGATGTACAAAATTCAATAAAAAGTATATTATGAACACCTACTATGTGTGAGGCATTGTGATAAGGGATAGAGAAAGGTTAATGAGAAGTGACCACTGCCACAAATGAGAAATTTACCTTGCTTTGGTAGGTGTTATGAAGAAAAGAGGAAGAAAGTAAAAGATAGAAGGGAAGTAATAGAGTTAAGGAGGGAAAAAAAGAAAGGGAGAGAGGGAAGCAGGTTAAAGAGGAGGAGACCAGGGAGGGAGGAAGGAGACATTGGTCAACATATAAAATTTAGAGCAGAGTTCCTTAATCCACTAGGTGGCGACACAGAGCTCAAAAAGGAAAGGGCTGTCATACATTCGCAATTTTTCACGTCAACAGAAGACAAAATGTAAAAAAGAAATTGGTATGTTTTTAATATTCCAAACTTTTTATTATTTTAATGATATTACATAGATTTTTGCAAACATTTGTTGTTGATGAGAATGAAGAACAAAATCCCTCACTGTTTTTTTCTTGAAGGTGTTTTCAAACTTTCCATTAAAGCACAGAACCAGATGAGGGAAAGAAAATTTGTCAAATATATAATCATGAAGTAGGATGATTTTTGTAATTATATGTACAATCTAGAAGGTATAAGTATTCTGAAGTATGGGAAGTTATGGTTAGTATGATACAATGCACTCTCTCATATAATAAAAGGCAAGTGTTTCCAAATTTCTCACTGCGTCCACAAGAACATCTCTTCCTGGGTATTTAGTGACTGGGAATGGGCAGCAGAGGATATAAACTTGTATATATATTAAGGACTGTGCTGTGGGTTCTACATAGATAATTCCAGTGAACTTTCAGGACAAGTCTGCATAGTAGCTACCATACCACTTTGGAGTTCGGTTAGGTTAGATGAAGTAAGTGACCTGTCAAAGTTCCCACAGTTAAGTGGCAGAGCCTGGGCTCAAACTCACCTGCACTTCAAAACCAGTGCTCTAAACTACACTATGTTCCACTACATAGGTGTGTACTTTTATCAGCAGCAGCATCTGTATTCAAGACTATATATATGTATCTTACAATTTCAAATGGTATTTCACATATATTTTCATATTTTAATGCAGTTTTATATACATATAATTAATATGAGCATAATAAACTATGGGGCATTTTTCTTGCTTTTCTCTTTGAACCATCCATTTATAAATATTAGAAATTAAATACAGTGTTTTCTTACATTGACATTTATAACATTTACCTTAAAAAAGTAAGACTTGGAAAGAACAGTTTAGACAAAATAATATGACTCTAGAATGAAGAAACTCAACCTCAAGAAACAGGTGGCTAGAGAAGTCAGAGCACAAATACATGGAGGGCATAAACAACATGCTTTTAAATAATCAATGGATCATGAACAAGTCAGAGGAAATCAAAATACATGGAGCCAAATGAAAACAAGAGCACAATTCAAAATATATGGGATGCAGCAACAGAACTACAGAGAGAGAAGCACCCAGCAATACAGTGTAACTCAGGAAACAAGAACAATCCCAAATAAAGGATCTAAAATCACAACTAAAGCAACTAGAAAAAGAAGAATAAACAAAGCTCAAAATTAGTAGAGAGGAATAAGATCAGAGCATAAATAAACAAAATACAGAGTAAGAAAACAATAGAAAAAAATCAAAGAAACCAAGAGCTGGTTGAGAAGAACAAAACTGACAAACCCCTAGCCAGACTTGCAAGAAAAAAAGAGAGAGGACACAAGTTGACAAAATCAGAAACAAAAAGGGAGAAGTTACAACTGACATAGAAACTCAAAGAATTGTTAGAAAATTCTATAAAAATCATATGCCAATGAAGTGGACAACCTAGAAGAAATGGATAAATTCCTAGAAAAGTACAGCCTTCCAACACTGACCCAGGAAGAAGCAGAAAATCTAAACAGACCAATTACCGATAACGAACTTGAACTGGTAATTAAAATACTCCCAACAAACAAAGAGTCTAGGCCCAGATGTCTTCACAAATGAATTCTACTGAACATATAAATATGAGATACCTATCCTTCTTAAGGTATTGCAAATTAAGAGGAGAAAATAACATCCAAATTCATTCTATGAGGCCAGCAACACTCTTAATACCAAACCAGACAAAGACACAACAAAAAAAGAAAATTACAGACCAATATCCTTGATTAACAAAGATGTAAAATCCTCAACAAAATATTAGCAAACCAAATTCAAAAATACATCCAAGGATCATCCATCATGACCAAGTGGGATTTATTCCAGGGATGCATAGACAGTAAAAAATTCATAAATCAATCAATGTGATATGCCACAGTAACCAAAGTATAAACATCATATGATCATCTTAATAGATGCCAAAAAAGCAACTGACAAAATTCAGCATCCATTCATGGTAAAAACTCTCAACAAAGTGGGTACAGAAGGAACATTCCTCAACATAATAAAGGCAATACACAACAAACCCACAGCTACATAGTACTGAATGGTGAAAAGCTGAAAGCTTTTCCTCTAGATCAGCAACAAGACAAGGATGCCTACTCTCACCACTTTTAATCAACATAGGAGGTCCTAGCCATGGCAATCAGACAAGACAGAGAGATAAAAGGCATCTAAATTGGTAAGGAAGAAGTAAAATTTTCTGTATTTGCAGATGACATGATATTATATACAGAAATCCCTAAAAACTTCAATAAAAAACTATTAGAATGGATTCAATAAAGTCACAGGGTACAAAATCAATATACAGAAATCTGTTGCATTCCTATATACTATTAACAAACTAGCAGAAAGAGAAATCAAGAAACCAATTTCATTTACAGCTGCATCAAAAAGAATAAAATACCTAGGAATAAACCTAACCAGGGAGGTGATAGACTTGTACTCTGAAAAGTGTAAGACACTGATGAAAAAAACAGAAGACAACACAAATAAATAGAAATCTATCTCATGCTCATGGATAGAAAGAATGAAAATTGTCAAAATGGTCATTCTGCCCAAAGCAATTTACAAATTCAATGTAATCTCTATCAATTTACCAATGGCATTTTTCAATGAACTAGTGCATAATCCTAAAATTTATGTGAAACTACAAAAGACCCCAAATAGCCAAAGTACTCTTGAGAAAGAACAAAGCTGGAGGTATCATGCTTCCTGACTTCAAGCTATACTACAGAGATACGGTAATCAAAATAGTAGTGGCACAAGAATAGACCCATAGATCAATGGAACAGAAGAGAGAGCTCAGAAATAAACCCCTGCATACATGGTCAGTTAATATATGACAAAGGGGGCAAGAATACACACACTGGGGAAAAGACAAGTCTCTTCAATAAACGGTGTTGGGAAAACTGGAGAGCTACATGCAAGAGAATGAAACTGGATTACTATCTAAAACCAAACATAAAAGTAAAGTCTAAATAGATAAAAAGCCTAAATGTAATACATGAAACCATAAAACTTTTAGAAGTAAACAAGCAAAACTCTCTTGGACATAAGCATGTGTAATTTCTTTCTGGCTACCTGTCTCAAGGTGAGGGATACAAAAGCAAAAACAAGTGGGACTACATCAAACTAAAAAACATCTGGACAGCAAAGGACACCATCAACAAAATGAAAAGACAACCTATAGTACAGGACAATATATTTGTAAATGATATATCTGATAAGGGACTAATACCCAAAATATATAAAGAACTCACAATGACTCAACACCAAAAAAACAAATCACCCAATTAAAAAATGGGCAGAGGACATGAGTAGAGATTTTTCCAAAGAAGACATACTGACAGCCAACAGGCACATGAAAAGATAGTCCACATCATTAATCATCAGGACAAGGCAAATCAAAACTACAATGAGATATTACCTCATACCAGTCAGAATGGCCAACATCCAAAAGACAAGAAATAACAAGTGTTAGTGAGGATGTGGAGAAAAGGAAAACCTCCTACACTGTTGGTGGGAATATAAATTGGTGCAGCCACTGTAGAAAGCAGTATGGAGGTTCCTCAAAAAACTAAAAATAGAAATACCATACAACCCGAAAACAAAATCTCTGCCAGGAAAAGACATATGCACTCCTATGTTCATTACTGCACTATTTCCAATAATCAAGAAATGGAAGCAACCTAAGTGTCCATCAATAGATGAATGGATAAAGATGTAGTACATATACACAATGGAGTATTATTCAGCCATAAAAAGAAAACCTGCCATTTGCAACAAAATGGATAGACCTACAAGATATTATGCTAAGTGAAACTACCCAGGTGGAGAAAGACAAATAGCATATGATTTCACTTGTATGTGGAACCTAAAAGACAAACAAAACAAAATGAACAAAACATCAATAGACTCACAGACACAGAGAGGTGACTGGTGGTTATCATGGGGTAGGGTTTAGGTGGGTGGATGAAATAGGTGAAAGCAATAAAGAGGCACAGAGAATATAGTCAGTAATTCTGTGACATCTTTCTCTGTTGACAGATAGTTACTACTCTAGGTGGAGTGAGCATTTAGAATGATTAAAAAAACAGGGGAAAAAAAAAGACCCAAGAAAGCAGGATTGGCAATCAGGGTGGCAGTCTATTCTTTACTCTTTACTAACCTCATTAGACAATCAAAAACCAGAAAAACAAAAACCAAGGGATTCTCTCAAAAAAAGCACTCCATGATCACTGCCTCATCATCAACTCATTATCAAGGAAAAGGATACTAAAGTGTGAAACAAAGCCCAAATCACCAACAGATCTCCAGGATCTCCACTTAAGAATAAACCAATGAATCTAGAATGCCCTCATTTTTTTTGGTACACTGTTCTATTCAGTTTTTAGTTACACAGAGAATAAGTCTTACTGCTTCCAAGGGTCCTATCATGTAATTTTGCTGTGGAGACAGTTGTTTCAGTTAAGGGTATTCATATCCAAGGCTGGAAAAAAATCTTCTTAACCAATAGTTTGCTTTATAGTTTTAGATGTATTAGGATTACCTCTTTCCTACTGTTCTCATGAAACAATTTATATCTTTAACTTAGTAATATAGACAAAATACCTTCAGAATTCACTCAAGTCACTTCTTTATGAAGCCTTCCTAGACACTCAGATTAGGCTGTCTCCTTATGCTCTTACAATACCCTGTACATTTCATCCATAGTATTTACTATCATAATAGTTATTTGTATAATTATTTGTTCATATTATAAATTTCTTGAGAGCACGATGTTGCTTCCTATAGTTTTGGGCAATTACTAGGGTGTTCAATAAATATCTGAAGAATGAATAAGTGTAACAAATATATTTCACATGCACAAGAATGCAGTAGGACCTAAATGAGATTGATAAAATCCTTAAGTTTTCCCAAGAAAAAAGATGCAAATAAAATGCCAAGTAGTATTACCAATGCAAAATCCTGTAGTTAAAATAATTTGGAACTTGGGTTGAAACTTTTTCCAATTATAAAGAGCTGGAATTAGTTCAGATTGCCAAGTGGCTCTCCATTTCCTTACAGAGAGTAGAAAATCTTGTAATGGACAAAGAAACTGGTTTTGACCATGAATGCTACAAGCTCTACATTAAGAATTTGTTTCCCCTCTACTACTATTACCACACTAAACATCTTGACTCGGGAAGCTCTGTGTTTTCCAATCCTTGAAACTACCTCTTTCTGTATAAATAACTAAACTTTTCCAACATGGTTAAATGTAACAAAGGAAACCATAGACTCAAACCAGCAAGTATACATTATTATATTAGTTGTACAAGATATTTAAAATAGGCTTTAATTTTTAACTATGAAAATAAAGGTTTCATCAAATTTTGTTTTCACTTGTTTATTACATATATATAATTTCCATAAATGGTAGACAAATGTTCCTTTCAAGTTGAAGACTTTAGTTCTATTAGTCATGGATCACTTTTCACTCATTTATAATAGTCATTTTGGGAGGGGGGGGGCAGTAAATCCTGGTTTCTGAAAACCTGTGACTTTTTTTTTTTTTATTAAGGTATTGATATACAATCTTACAAAGTTTTCACATGAGCAACACTGGGGTTAACTACATTCACACATATTATCAAGTCCCCCCCCCACATACTCCAATGCAGTCACTGTCCATCAGCATAGTAAGATGCTATAGAGTCATGACTTACCTTCCCTGTGCTCTACTGCCTTCCCCATGATCCCACTACATTGTGCGTGCTGATCATAATTCCCCTTATACCCCTTCTCCCTCCCTCCCCACCTACTCTCCCTGCCCTCTTTCCCTTTGGTAACCGCTAGTCGCTAGTCCCTTCTGGGAGTCTATGAGTCTGCTGTTTTGCTTTGTTGTTATACCCCACAAATGAGTGAAATCATTTGGTACCTGTCTTTCTCGGCCTGGCTTATTTCACTGAGCATAATACCCTCTAGCTCCATCCATGTTCTTGCAAATGGTAGGATTTGTTTTCTTCTTATGGCTGAATTATAGTCCATTGTGTATATATAACACATCTTCTTCATCCATTCATCTACTGATGGACATTTAGGTTGCTTCCATTTCTTGGCTATTGTAAATAGTGCTGCAATAGACATAGGGGTGAATATGTCTTTTTGAATCTGTGACCTTGTTTTCTTTGGGTAAATTCCTAGGAGTAAAATTACTGGGTGAAATGGTATTTCTATTTTTAATTTTTTGAGGAACCTCCATATTGCAATCTACAATGGTTGAACTAATTTACATTCCCACCAGCAGTGTAGGAAGGAGAGTTCCCCTTTCTCCACATCCTCACCAACATTTGTTGTTCCTTGTTGGAACATTTGGATGTTGGCCATCCTGATGTGAGGTGACATCCTATTTGTGGTTTTAATTTGCATTTCTCTGATGATTAGTGATGTGGAGCATCTTTTCATGTGCCTGTTGGCCATTTGAATTTCTTCTTTGGAAAAGTGTTCAGATCCTCTGCCCACTTTTTAATCAGGTTTTTTGCTGTTTGGGTGTTGAGGCATGTGAGCTCTTTATATATTTTGGATTTTAACCCCTTGTTTGAAATGTCATTTATGAATATATTCTCCCATACTGTAGGATGCCTTTTTGTTCTGCTGATGTTTTTCCTTGCTATACAGAAGTTTTTTACTTGGATGTAATCCCAGTTGCTCATTTTTGCTTTTGTTTCCCTTGCCTGAGAAGATGTGTTCAGAAAAAAGTTGCTCATGTTTATATTCAAGAGATTTTTGCCTGTGTTTTCTTCTAAGAGTTTTATGGTTTCATGATTTACATTCAAGTCTTAAATCCATTTCCAATTTACTTTTGTGTATGGAGTTAGACAATAATCCAGTTTCATTCTCTTACATGTAGCTGTCCAGTTTTGCCAACACCAGTTGTCAAAGAGGCTGTCATTTCCCCATGTATATCCATGGTTCCTTTATCGTTTATTAATTTGCCATATATGTGTGGGTCTGTTCTTGTGCCAGTACCAAACTGTCTTGATTACTGTGGCTTTGTAGTAGAGCTTGAAGTTGGGAGCATAATCCCCCCAGTTTTGTTCTTCCTTCTCAGGATTGTTTTGGCTTAATAATAGCCATTTTTAATATAAGATCATTTGATTATTCTTTCTTTCAATATCAGGTATTTTTAAGAGTATGTTCTACATTCCAGAAACTTGTTTTCAACTTTAATACATCTTTTTAAATAGCCATTCTTGGTTGTTCTATCATATCATATCTGATGCTGAAGGTATTAGTGTTCTAAAGAGCTCAAGGACTTTGAAGACTGAAAAATAATCCTAAAGATTATTTTAATTCACTTGACTAAAAAAAGCATAATAAACCACACCTATTCACCTACTGAGAACAAATTAGTTACTTCTTGTTTTACCTGGATATTCCAAGGAAAAAGTAAAACTAATAAGCTACCTATATGGTTCTAAAGTTCGTTTTAAAATATGTTTGGCATGAGCATAACTAACAGAAACAAGAAAAAACAATTTTATAAAATTAGACAGATTACACTACTGTTGCCCTAACGGCTTTACAAACTTGATATCAATTTTCTGAAAAGTATTTATCTTGGGAGAGCCTATTAATTTTAAAAGAGAATACGGCTTTTATGTCTAGCAGCTTAAGTGTGTATTTTTCAGTGTGACAAAACTTACGTTTTAGAATTAATAAATATACTACTAATAATTAGGACCAAAACTGAAGGTTTTAATAACTTAGCATTTTCACAATATTAGATTTAGTTTTACTTTTTTCTTTTTCTAATTACTTTTTTCCTTTTCTAATACTATTTTCTTCCAAAAAGCAACAGAAAGCAATAAATGATTAAAAAAATAGTTGCCTCCCCAGAGACTTAAATGTTGACAACTTGAGGTAGAAAAACAGTAATTGTCCCATTAACTATTACCCAAGACTGCTTAAAAGAAATCAGAAAGTACATATACCAAAGCCACAGCTATTTGATCTAGTGGGATACAGAATAGTCCACAGTGACTCAAATAAGTATTTGCTTAGGACATTAGGACTCATAAAGAAATGAAGTTAGGCATGCGGAAATGTCATGCATACACCAATATGTCCATGAAGCTTTAAACTGGTAAAGATTTAAAACCTGAGATTTTTACTTAGGAACAGGGTTATCTCATCCCTTTTTAGCTCAAGGTATCAACTAAGTGAATCCAGAAATAACAACTTGTTCTACAAAAAGCCCATCCTTATACAGCTCAGCTTCTGTAAAATTCTCATCTTCCCAGTTTGGGTTGTTTAGCCCAATTTTGGACTAGAAGCCAAGTTTGACAATAACCCCGAGAGACTTGGATACCACCTCACAATTGCAGATTTCTTCATCCCCTCTCCAAAGAACAAATACTCTTCTCTGGCAGCCAACACTCCCTTCCCCATCCCAAAGTCAAGTTCCTCCCTCCTTTTCAGGTGTCACCTTACCGTGCTGGCCTGTCATTCTTAAAACGGTGAGGTTCATCACTCTCTTTTGACTTTGAGTATGCCGATTTAATTGTTTTTGGCTATAGACATAAAAAAACACATACAAATGAAAAAACAAACCTCAAAAGAAAAAACACTTATAGAAAAGAGCAAACAAAAAGGTTAGACTTAGAAAATATCTAAGACCAAGCATGCTAAATTCTACTTTAGTAATTTCAGGTTACTTACATTCAGTTGAACAACATAAAATACAGCCACTCAGAGAGAAAAACAAAATCATAGTCACAAATGTGTACTGGAAGCTGTCAATGCGGCCAGATGGGTAAGTGGGCAAAACACACAAACATGCGCCCCCACAGAAGTGTGCTTTGCCATCCATTGTTAACATAATAGCTGCACAGTAGCTGATAAGAAGTAGTAGACCCCCCAAGTCTATGGCATCTAGGTTTATGCCCTTAAACTTAATGCTGAACATCTGACTCAGGGATGATTTTCAGGCCAGGAAACCAAGACATATTCAGGCCAACTTTTCCAGTAGAGGAACTGTACCAGCACCAATTATAGGATCTAGAAATTATAGAAACCTTGATATTTACTAGAAATGTAGCCCTCTCCTCTTACTTTCCTGATTTGTAATCTTTAAAAATATCTACTACTTCATAGCTGAATTAACAAAGAGTCTAAGTAACTTCTGATAAATTATTTGTAGCTTAATTTATATAAGCAGATTCATCTGGGAACAGTTCTATTAAAAAAATACATCTTTTAGGAGAAATTATGAATTACTAATAGGGTAAAAGAGGGAGATAAATATAAATAATTAACACGGGAATAATACTTTTATTTGTTTTTAGACTGACTACTGGGTAATTAATTGAGCAACAGGAAATAGTAGAGCAATACTATTATCATGGTTCCTATGTCTTCTTTTTCCTTCAGTTGCCAATACTGAAACTGTAAGACCCAAGGGAGGAATTTGTTCCCGAGAGAACAGTGCTAAACATCAACTCTATCATGGATATACACCCTCGTTGCATCCCTGCAGGCCTAGCAGAACTCCCGTCTAAAAAACCGTTACTGTAGGAGTTCTCTCCCTCCTCCTCTGCTCTTCTTCTATTATGCTTTCTTCAACCAGATGGACCTTGTATTGTTAGCTATAGCTTGTCATCCTCTTTATGTTTTACATTACTATGAGGAAAACACATCTTTGTCTCTCCCTGGAAATCCTGAGTGGTGCACTAAACAAAGCAACCAATGAGTAAAACCTGTTAAACTGGACTTGCAACCACCTACAACGATACATTACTTTACAGCAGGATGTATTGTAGTCATCGGTTATTTTGTCTATTTCTGATTAATGAGGGGGAAGATAACAGTCCAAGTTCAGTTCATGCTAGACAGTTCCTGTACTCTGATGTACACAATGACTACTTGGTGATATCTGCCACTGTGCCATGGATGAAGTTATATCAGAGGAAAGAGAAGTAGTGCCCAGTCAGGGACGAAGGACAATATCAGCACGAAGGAAAAGTAGCCAGAGGAAGAAAAAGGCCACTGTGGAAACTTGAAAGCATGTGAAAATGCTACATTCTCCTGTAAGGTTAAGAATAGCAAAACTAAAATTGCTCATGACCAGAAGCACTTGCATCTCAGGTAGTCTTAAAATGAATGGAATGAGTTTTTCAATCTTAACAGTAGTTTTTTACAGTCACTTTAAAAAAGTCAGTATGATTTTTCATGGTGAAACAACTTTTACAAGTCAGATTCCCATATATGAGAGAGATAATTTGTACATCCTAAACATTATTTGCAGAGCTTACCCTAAAAGCAGAGTCCACTTTCTGTTTCTAATTTCGTTTCTAATTTAAAAATAGAAATAAAAAAACAGACCGCACCTTCCAATCAGGGTCATGCTTTCTTTTGTCCAAAGATGATTTCTCCCGCTCCTTGGCTTTCTTGTAAGCCTTCTTTTCTTCAGCCATTAGAAGTCTAGCAATTTCCTAAACAAAATCCAGGCACTGTCACTGACTGCAGTTGTTAGTAAACCATTTCTGGACTATTTCCAAAGAATACTGGCTAAACAAATTCACCACCTAAAATGAGCTCACCTCGTCCTGGGCTACTTGAGCTGCTCTCATGTCCACCTGGGTAGCCTATGGTATAGAAAATACAAAAGAACAATTTAATAGAAATCTACATTGTTCCTTCTTTAAAAATCTTCCATAAAACAAACTGGTATTTGAAAATAGTTTTGATTTACATCCCTGAATTGGATAATCAGTTGGTTATACTTGCACCAGCCAGAGCAGGGTCTATTTTTATCAAATTCTACAGCAGATTCTTTGAGAATTACCAGAACTCAACTACGGAAAGACTGTGGGAAAGTGAGGGTTCCTATGGCCAGGATTCTCACCTGGCCCTGGTCGGCTTGCTCACTGCACACATGTGGGCAATATGTTATTAATGACTCTACATGAAGAGCTCCGCCCAGTGCTCTCGACTGCATGGCTGCAGGCGAGCAGAGAGGCCCAGAGGCAGAGATCGGCCTGCTGCATGCAGACTCGCTCTCAGTGGATGGGGTTCTAGTGACTGACTTTCCACTGTGGGAATAAAGTTGGACATAAACCCTTTCACCCCAAGAACGTTCCATTGTTATTCCTCAGTCTCATTGAATCCATGGTGACCATGTCTGGGGCCGAAACCCACTGGCAAGACCGGGATATGGCATTCTGCTGCCAATGCTTACTCAGTAAGTAAAACTGGACACTCTATCCCTACTTTGATTTTTCTATCCATAAAGAAGATTCCAGTTTCTCAACTTCTCCAGGACTACAATGCCTATTACATAATCTCAAGAATGATCCAATTTAAGATAAACTACTGATTCCTCTGAACTCTTGCATTAAAATTTGCTCACCAAAATTTCTTCTTCTTGCAGTTTTCTAGCAATTTCAGCATCATACCATTCCTGATCCCTGTGGGCCGCTTGTGATGAAGTAGAAACAGCTTCTTTCTTCATCCTTGGCTTCATTCCTAAAAAAAGCCAGTATAAGGCAACCAACTTTGTTTTCTGAAAAGTTTCAAATGTGAGGATTTAACAATATGAGTACCTGTTGAACCACTCTGTTGTACATCTGAAAACAATGTAAGATTGTATATCAACAATACCTCAATAAAAAAATAAATTTAAAAAAATGTTGCAGACTTTAAGCTATGTAAGTTTTTCTTTAGTATCCAACACTGACAGATGTTGCCACTCCAAAATTCAGTGTAGGGTACACATAAAATCATTTTTTCCCTTAGGCATCGAAGTGGTGGTGCCAATAATCCACACATTTAAACAAAGTTTAACCTGCCACACCCAAACCTGCCTCGTAAAAACTCCCCTCTCACACAGTTTCTTCAACAGTAGAAAATCATGCAAAGATCTAAGTGAGGCCTGGGAAAAATAGTAAGTGGAAAAAGAAGGTTAAGTCACTGAAAAAGAATTTAGAAAAAAGAGTCAAAGTTTTAGAGACTCATTGGTCAAGACGGGAGAAATGAAAGGCTTGCTTCTATGTAACTCAGCTTTGCATACCTTACTTCAGAGGCAATAAGAAACAGCATCACCTGGGAGTTTTGTGACAATACCTGTTAGCCAACTAGTGGCCCCACCATGGCTCACTTGCTTTAGATCTTTCCTATAGCTTTGATTGGTTAAATGTTGTTGCTAAACTTTAGGGATGCTATAATATAAAATAACATGAAACAGTGCACAATGACCTCAGAGTACTATTCCTCTGAGGGAAAAGGAACATAGGGGACTGGTGGGGAACTTGGGCTCTTTACTCTGAAATTTTATAAGCAGCATATATTCCTAAGTGGTAAATGCTAAAGGTTATTTCAAAAGTGTGGGTATTTCCCTCTTTTTATACTTTATAATTTATAATTATCCAACAATGTGAATCTATTATATTTAGAAATAATAAAAATTTTTATTGTGGTGAACAAGACCATCTGAAGTGACTTTCAGTAAATGGATTACTGAAGGGAGAAAGAAAATTTACTCCTAATTGCCTATTTCTTTGTATCAGTGGTTCTCAGCCATGGCTGGTATTAGACTCATTCAGTGTTCTTTAAATAAACAGAAATCTTTGACCCAAACCCCAGGGATTCCAATTTAAGGAACCTGGGTGAGATCTGACCTTTGGTAGTTTTAAATCTTCACAGCTGATTCTTATTAGCGATTAGCATTAGAAGTACTAGATTAGTGTATTATGTCCATCAAAATTACTATACATTAAAACAAATTTTAACATAATGCCTCACCACAGTGGATTCACTTTAAACAAAGTGATTGCTTTAAACAGAGAAAAGGAAAGGAAAGGAAAGAAAATACAACTACATTCTAGGTGAATGAAGAGAATTTAAGTTTTCTGATAAAGCCTCTCTTATAGACCCTTAAACCTAGCATAGTGGTAAATCCAAAGGCCACAGACTCATCTGTATGTCCACTGATGGATAAGGAAAATGTGGATATACACACACCACAATGGAATATTATTCAGCCATAAAAAGAAGGAAATCTTGCCATTGGCAACAACATGGATAGACCTTGAGGGCATTACGCTAAGTGAAGTAAGTCAGACAGAGAAAGACAAAATACCTTATGATCCCAATTCTATGTAGAATCTTAAAAAAAGCAAACAAACAAAAAGACAAACTCATAGATAGAACAAATTAGTGGTTGCCAGAGGCATTTTGGGGGAGAGGGAAAATGTGTGAAGTCAAACTATACAAACTTCCAGTTATAAAATAAATGTCTTTGAGATATAATGTATAGCATGAAGACTTTAGTTAATAACACCATGCTGCATATTTGAAAGTTTCTAAGAGAGTAGATCTTAAAAGTTTTCATCATTAAGAAAAAAAGAAATTTTACCCTATATATTGTAACAGATGTTAACCAAATTTACCATGTCACTTTGCAATACATACAAATACAGAATTATTATGCTGCATACCTGAAACTAATATGTTATATGTCAACTATACTTCAATAAAAATAAATAGTTACAATTTCAGGTAATATCTAAGTCCCAAATAGTTAGTAGGAAAATAGTTTAACTCTTGATATATCACTCTGGAACTTACATGTCTCCTAAGAAGGGTAACTCCATAGCCTGGAATGCTAGATTTCTGGACTGACAGGTACTGCCCACTCTATGTACTGTCCTCTGTACCAGAGGTGGAAAGAACTTCTGTAAGTGTGCAAGAAGGAACTCCAATAGTCACTGCAAGACCATCCTTACAGAAAAGATACTTCAAAAAACTTGTAAACATACTTAATGAAGGAAATTAATAATAGCTGCCCTTATCTTGGAAGCCCAAATATAATGTGGAAACCAGCTTTCAAAAGATCAGGTGTGCCATATTTTTAACAGCTTCACATTCATTTCTTAATCTAATTCTTCCTTGGTGTCCTTTTTTGTTCATGTTCTCTAGTTTATGGAGAACCTCCCTCAATAAACACAAATAAAGATTATCTAAAAACAAATTCTGATAGAATATAAAATTGTTAAAATAATTGATATTGAAGACAAACTTATTTCAAGCTTGAGATAAGGTAAAATGATGACTGATAAATTATTTGATATCATGCAAGATTATTTTGTAATAAGCCAGTCTGACACTTAGGGAAAAAGCCAGAGTAAAAAGAGAAGTATTATTGCCCTGAGAGGTTGGAAGTTAGCCTGAAGAAAATCATTAAGTTATTATTTAACAGCTCAACAGAAAAGTTAATCTCAAAGTTGGTATGGTTTTACTGCCCTTTAGAAAGTAAACCAATCTTATATTTAACTTAGCAATTTCATTTTGCACTCCTTTTTCAACCAACTATAAAATCCTGTCCTGCAAAGGATCTAAGCACGAATTCTTTGTCATCCTGCTAGTTTCTTTATTATTAAGTAAAACTTCAGCCTACAGTAACATGAAGAATTATGCTTTTACAACAAGGATAAGCCAGTACCCAGTAATTGTATCTTAATGTAATCCTCTAACTATTCAAGGAGTTCACAAAATCAAATGCCTTTAGGAGCCAGGAGGTAAAATTTGTAAAGTAAGTGGAATATAAAATGATACACACTAGCAGCTATATTATAGCCACTTCAGTACCTGCCCAGCCACATTATTTTTTTCAACTCTTGTGCTGGAAAAAAAAAGAAAGAAAAAAAAATTTTGCCTACAAGTCCACTGTGACTCAGTGTTTATATTTTCCTAATAGTTTCACCCTCCCTAAGCTTGTTTCAGATACTCTCAAGTGTCACTAAAAGCCATAAAGGTAAATCAGCCTTCAGGGCACACTTGTAAGGGCAGATTCACAGAATCCTGGAAGTAGAAGCCAGTGTAATCACTGCTGCTCACCCAACACCTTTAACACTCCAACATATCCTTCTAAATATGGATATAGTATAACTTTCTCATGAAGCCTGCTCCAGATAGATTATATCACTTCCTTTTACTCTCCCACAGCTCTTTGTTTAAAGTATGTCTCATTTGCAAATATTTGTTTACATATGCTTTGTTTTGCCTTGACTTATTAACCCTCTGAGCTCAGATTCAAGAATAAATCCCCAAACAAAGCATGAGGCAAAAATATTTTTAGCATATACTCAGTATGGCATACTGAAATGAATTTTCATTTTCTTTACAGTCAAGTCCTTTAATAACATAAATAACTAACATGATAGGATGAAATAACATAATAGGAAGAAGCAATTGGATCAACCTGAATGTGCAACTTAGAAACCAGTTTCCAGACCAGAAGTAGAGACTGGCTGGGCAACACAATAAGGAAGAAAATAGGAACAGATGTATCCTGGGCACTCCTTTTCCAAAAACCTTGCATCTCTGTAAAACTTCAATAAGAATAAAACAGCACTTAACAGGGAGATGAGTATGGTTTAACAAAAATACCAGTGTAGTGCTATGATTTCTGGTACAGTCACCTGAAAAGCATAACCACGGCAGTTTCCAAATAAGAACAGAGAGAACCACTACTGTGTCAATGACGGGCTTCAGAGTTCAGCCTCAGAGATGCCAGAAGCTTAAGTCTATATTTGCCTCCTTCCTACACAAATACCACACTGGCGCTTTAAAAAACCCAATTGCAGAGTTGGAGTTGAAGGTTAGAGCATAAAAGTAACTTAAGGGAATGCTTTTCAAACTTTAAGTATGTAAGAATTACCTCTAGGTCTAAAACAAACCCAAACCGCCAGGTTGTACTCCAGAGATGCTAATATATTGGAGACCCAGAAATCTGCATTTTTAGGAAATAGCCCAAATGGTTCTGACAAAAATAGACTGAGGTTCACAATTTGAAGAATGTTGTTTAAGAGACTGCCTACCAATCTCTCTCCCCTTAAAGATGGGAAAAGATGAGGTCAAGAAAATCTATTACTTCCAGCCCTGCTGTTGTTCTAGTATGGCAAATTGAATGAAAGCAGTGTCAGCAGATCTTCTGGGTTCACTGAATTAACATCAGAAACTCAAGAGTGTTGATCTGGTATCAGAATCTCTATTGTACAGTCTTGGAAAATAAAGAATTGTATCTGGGATGGCACATCGACTGCAAGCTGGGGCTGGAGGAACCTTGTAAAAAATCAGAGTATTCTCACAGAAGTCAGAAAGGGAAAAGTGCAAATATTTGTATCTTCTTACAGACTTGAGATTAATGAACATCTTTTGTAATACCTGGCTCCAGGTTTTATTCCAAAGTCAAGGACAGAAATAGACAGAAAGAACAGGTTGCTTAAGATGCTTATTAAATACATTTGTTTGAATATAGTTCTATACATATAACACCCATACTTGCAACGAGACTGTCCTTATTACCTGTGCTATGGAGTTGGAGCCGTTTCTCACTCTCTGAGAAGGGCGGAGTCCTGAGCCTGTGTTTCCTTTCTCTGTGCTCACCTTGCCCATGGTCCCTCCCACACAGAGCTTCCTTGCAGTGAAGCCCTGCTTTCTGAGAGGACTTGGGTGAAAGTCGGTCTTGGTGTCTGGACTGTTTTTCCAAATTCCGAGTGCGATGGCTACTGTTAGCCTCCCAGTCATCAAATTCAGTGCTCAGAAACACCTCACCACTGATCTTGGGAAGTGGAGGTCTCCGGAGCTTCTCATGATCAGACTGTTTCCTTTCATGCTGTTCAGTGTTAATTTTGCTATTGTCCCTCACTTTGCCCAAACTAGAGGATGACAGAGACTTCTCTGATGACCAGTGCTCTTCCAGTTCTTCCAAGTTCTCCACTGGATGTTTGGTTTTCTCCTTCCTCTGCTTCACAGTGCTTCCATCACTTTGGAGTCTATAAGACCTTGAGACTCCAGAACCCAATTCCCTTGCCCTCCTTGACTGTGGCAGGTCTGAGTGGAGGTGGAGGGATGTGAAAAATAGAAAGGCAGGTTAACTTAATCAGAGTATGAACTCACTACACAGGAGAGACAGGGCCCAAATTTAACATATTTTAAAATGGAGACTATTTATTCAACTTTACAAACATAAAAGAGGGGATGGGTATTTATTGGAGTGATCCATGAATACATGAAGGACTCTGGGTACATAGCCAAAAAGGTAAAAGACTAAAATAAAATTAAGTGAAATAAATTTGAAAGAGCTTAATCATGATTAGGGAGAGTTAACACAGTACTTTGATCTTTAACAATAAGAAAGATTACAGTAATTAACCATTAAATTCTACTCATAAAACCAACTTGAACCACTATGGCAGGGAATGTAGGGGTTGAAGGAGTCTTATAAAACAGAAAAGAACTAAGCTTTGTGATAACTAAACGTTCTAGTCAGAGGCTTTCAAATATTTTTATTGGAAATAACAATAAATCTGCATCAGAATGTTGCTACTTTCTACTTAGCTCAAAAAAATGACCACAGACTAGCATTCCTCTATCCTCTCCCCTACATTCCCAGCCATATTATAGTTCAGTGTGGAAGAATACAGAGTAGAGGAGAATTTTAAGTGAGTCAATGACCCTGTTCTCTTTAGATAACTCTGCTTCCAATCTTATTTGGAAGGCAGAGGAAAAAGTTAAAAAGGGATACCATAATAGAATACATAAAAAGGAGTCACTTCCTAAATTCATTTTTTAAAACTTCATGGAATTATATGTGATTAAATATACAAGTCCCTAAGTTTAACAAACTTCAAAAACAGCACATAGCTGGTTTCATTTGTCAGGTTTCATTTAAGCATAAGCACCCTGTGAAAACAAAGAAGTAAATTAATGTGCACTTTGCAATTTACTTTAATGTTTTCTAAGAATTTTAGTACATTTTGGAAATAATAAAAAGAAATCCAAATTGCATGGAAAATTGCTAAGATAGCTAAGATATGTCCCCTGATGGAATCAGCTACTTGCTGAATTGCATTCAAACAGCTACCTCTAATTTGATGGGATGTAGGAGAAATAAAGAGTTATGCATTTTCTTAGTTTTTAGTTTTTTCTGTTGTTTGTATTGGTTTGGATTTCTTTTTTTAATTTATTATTGCGAACATAATAAAGGAATAAAAGGAGGAGAGGTATGTCCTAAACGAAATACCGATGCCATAGCTTCTCAAAACATCAAATTGTTTCCTCTTGAGCTTCCCAAAGAAAATTGCTTCAAAGACGACATCTACATTATTGGAGTAATCCAAAATTTAAATCTTTTTTCCAAAAGTCTGTAAAAGTATTTATCTTCATAATTCATGGTTAAATTTATTTTTTACATAAAAGTAAAAGTGAAAACAGAACAATGACTCTTTGTGATAAAAAAAAATTTATCTACTCTTTTAACCAAACTATTAAGTGTTTCTTGACAACTAAGAAAGAATCAATTTACTGCTGTGAATTAATATAATATTGGCAGCTCCTAAAAAGATGACCACATCCAGGGAACAATGCTTTAGTGTTAATGCCAATGTTCCCACAGAGAGCTGCATGAGTGAAGTCTGCCTTTAGGCCCCAAAGAAACAAGAATGATTTTGTCTTTGACATGAGTTTGAGTACACAGCTGTTTTACTGTTGCTGTTTTTAATTCTTTCTAAAATTATATTAATAATTTTATTTTAGGTAAATGAATCTGAAGAATTAGACCAGAGCTATCACTACATTTTCACAGAACTGACAGGAAAAAATAATTTGTCTAGTTCACTTATTGTGATATCTTTAACCTGAGAAAGAAATAAAAAGAAAAAAAGACAGGTGGAGGAATCTATTTGAATCCTTTAAAATCTTGTCCAGTTAAAACTGAGACACATATGTTTCCTGGGACCAAGTTATTTGGCAAATATAATTAACTTCTTTATAGCCAATACATATACATATGTATATCACAAATATATGTAAATAAATACACACATATTTTATTTGTATGCCTCCCTGTTTGTCTTTCAAAACTAGATGGTTTTTGTTTGAATATACAAACTACTGTTATACACACATAACATTGATTTATATATTAATAGTAGTACTTCAGAGTTTGTCTTCACCAAAATTACATTATTTGATTTACTCAACATCCGTATGAAGGATGTATTTATCATCTCCATTTTATTATAAGAAAAGTCTTACTATGATTATAGTAGATAATTTCCTAAACATTACTAGTTGTTTTATGGAAAGGATGGAACTTGAACCTAGATCTTACAACTCCAAAGACCATGACTTTAATAAAATAAACCCTATTATGCCTGTAACACAAGTAAGCAGCTTTGAAAGAAAAACATGGATTCACAAATGAAAAAGATATACTACTTTGGCCGAAATAAATCTGACAGATGTTTGGATAGTTTCAAATTTGTAGAAAAATCCATAAATGATCATTTTAAAGACATTAATTTATTAAAAGCTGAAAAGACCACTTCTGTAATGGTATATTGCGATTATTACTAAGTAAGGTAAAGATCATTCTACACATAAAGACAGAGAAGTACATTTAAAGAATATTCCCTAATGTGTTGGGAAAGGACCACTGCAAAAAACCATCAGGATTTCTTTGTAAATATGAGCTGAATTGTAATGTGATTTCTGTGGAACTCTACTTGGTCTTCTCAAGGGCATACAAGTGAGGATCACATGTTCAGCAATATATAATCTCTCAACAACACAACTGAAATTCCAAGTTACATGCATGTGCTAAGGAGGTCACTTCTTCTATTCCCAATTCTCCCCCAACTCCAAAAAGGTGGCATCTATGCCACTCTCTAAAAGTTCACAGAAGCAATTAAAATACATACAAATTTTTTTAACTTTCAGGTACTCAGAAATATCACTGGATTTCCTACCCTAGAAATGTGAATCAGGAAGACAGCACTCTCGTCCAAACAACCAGATTTGAGTCTCAATTTCAGTTAGTATTAAGTTTTAATAGAGGAAGGCTACAATGAATACTTAAGTGTACTTAATTACTTGCCATCCTAAGGTTTTTACAGATGTCAAAGTTTTAAAGTTATTCTTATTTGCAGTGAACATGCCTCTAGAGAAAAATTAAAAATAAAAATAAACAAAGAACACCAGACCACAGTCCGAAGATTTTAATTAAAGCCGAAGAGTACCTCTTTATCTTTCTTCTGGCCATGTAGCAAAATACGGTAATAATTTTTCTTTTTAAATAATATACTACATGATTTCATTAGAAAGAACAACATAAAGAAAATGGCTATCAAAAAAGAGCTGAGCATTTTATTTTATATATGGAGGAAAAACACATCAAGCAATAAGAAGAGCGTCAACCTGCTTACTAATTATGCCACAGAGCTGAGCTCTGCTGGTGACAATAATTTCAGAGCAATATGACTCGGCAAGATAGTGCTCAAACTGTAATAATCTTATCTTGTACATATTCATTTCTTCCTTTCTACTTATTAAAGACAAAGACCTACTTATCTTTTATAATGAAATCGTAGAGAAATATCAACAGTTAGTTAGCAAGGGCCTTTGGAATCACTGAACTTAAAACTTTTACTCTCTAGAAGTTGCCTTTAGGTTTTATTTACTTGTTATTCTAAGTATCGTCTCCAAGCTGAATTACAATAAATACTGACACTATAAATTATAGGACATGTCTTTCTTTTGGCAGATCTTTGAAAAGGGCTGAACAGTACTTGCAAATACTCATTTCCCAACACTTCTAAGAACCACCACCACCACGATTACCACCACCACATCCTCACCAGCACCACAATGCATAAGCGGGGATGAGAGGAGAGAAGCTTTGAAGGGACTTCTCTCCCTCAGACATATTTCTGGATGGTAATCAAATAGCAAAGCAAGCATCAAGAGCCAAAGATAAACAAATAGTCTTAAAATTCAATTCTGTAATCAGCAAGTTTAACCATTGGCCTATGTTTAAAAGATAAGAAGCACAGAGAAAAAAGCTTTGTTCCAGGAACTTATGCATGGTGCACCTTCTTTATTATTCATGCCACTTTGCTGCTTCAAACAGTACCTCCCAGACTTACCTAAGAAAGACCACACCTAGGGATTCATCTGCCCTTTCCCACTCCCCAGTTTATGTGATTAGAATATAATACAGCACTCCAAGTAGCTAAAGCCCAAAAGAATGCATGCCAAACATTGCAAACCATATCCAAACTTTAACAGCCATAAAAATGGCTCTGGTCATCCAACTAAGGAACAGACGAATTCATTAGATTCATATAGAATTCCACCACAAATCTAAGAGGGCCCTGATATCCCTTCATGGACAAGTTTTAAGGGGTGTCTTGCAGTTGAGTCTAAGGATAGATTAAGTCATGATGTAGGCACTGTTACCTCCATCTTCATAATAGTAACTATCTCCATAAGCACTGGCCCCAGAGGACTCTGGAAAGTGTTTCTTCCGCTTTTTCTCTTCCTGTAACTCCTTTTCTTGCAAAAGGCGTGCTATGTCCTGCAAATATGAAGAGAATGGAAATGAGTATTTCCACAGAATGAACAAACTCCACATGACGACTCTCCTCCATATGGTAGGTCAATGCTTAGACATTCCACTACCAAGCTTCTGAGGGCTGTCTACTCCTCCCCAGACTTCTGGCATTAAGCTTCTGGTAGTCAAACGCCACAGACGATTGCTCGACAGAGGTGGCACATCATACAGATGAGCAAGAAAGCCTTTTTTTGTTTATTGAAATTTATATCTCACTCAACCTGAAGATATTCAAACCTAGTACTCCTAAAGCTACTTATGCAACAGAATCTTAAAAATACATATTTGTGGGCCCTTTTCCCAAGACGACGATTCAGTAAGTCTGGATGGGAAGAGTGAAGTAATGTGTAAAACTTCATAAACTGTAACTTAATTTAAAACATTTCAAAAGAATTATTCAGCTGATTCTGATTCAGCTTTGCATTAGAGTACCACTGTCTTGACTGAAAAAACGAAGTCTTCCTCCTGTCGCCCCTCTGCTTCGGTCTCCAGGCAAGTTTTTAAGCAGTTTCAGAACGATGAATAACATTCTACCCTGTCCCCAAAAAGATTGCCATCCCCTATGAAAACAAAGGTATATACAAGTAACTACAACACAACTAAATCATAAATCCCTCAAAACAAGGGTAAAAAAGTCTATGGGAATACACAAGAGGGGATAGTATTTCTGCTTAAATGAAGTAATACAAGTCTTCACATTTGTGTTAGATTTTGAACAAGAGCCAATTCCAAAAGGTAAAGTAAGGAGAGAGAACATCAGCAAAGTTAGGAACACTTTAGGTAGGCATCAATCTAGGGAAAACCAAGAGGCCAATTCAAACACTGGATGTGGGGTGTTGCAGAGAAAGGTGAAGCTAGGAAAACAGTCTGAGGCTACATCACAGACACTCCTTATAGACAACCTTAAGAAGTCTTAAGTCTATGATATAAGGGATGAAGGGTTACTAAGTTTGAGCTAGAGAGTAACAGTGTTCTGTATCTGAAGATTATTTCTATGAAAGCCCCATGTACACTGAAAAGGTCCTGTCACTAGATTTTTAAAGATCATACAAATATGGCAATAATATTCACTGGTGTAAATAGTAACAACAGTCATAGGTGGTTTTAGGTGCTTTCTTTATAAGGAATACAAGAAGCACTTTGATATCAATAATGGTAAATTTTGAAGCAAGAATTAATTACTATTTCCTCTTCTGCAATTTTCTGAAAAGTCAAAATGAAGAATATTCTAAGATTGGGAAGCAAACTTAAAACAAAATCAATGAATCAATTTTTTCCCACCAGTGTAGAAACAATACTGAGGACAGACGGATTAGCAAAGATTATCTGTATACTCAGCTTTTAATGTTCGTCAAAATAGCCTTACAAATCTATGTTACATTTATGTTAAATAAATAGCTAAATTCAAGCTTAAATATACTATTAATGCCTTCAACTGATTTTTATGCTAGAAGCTTCTCATAAAACTGTGTGAAATACATATATATATATATCTATGTGTGTTCGTGTGTGTGTGTATATATGTATGCATGTATTTGATAAATAATCTATGTAAAACCCTTGCTATATAATATCACACACTTGAGCAGGCACTCACAAAATGTGTCACAGAATGAGAGTTAACAGAATCCTACTTAAACAAGCATAAACTGCATGCAAAGAAATCTGAATTTCTAATACAGAAAAAAATCCCCTAAATCTGGAAATTAGGATGATTTTCTTCTCCCTTCTAGTTCAAGCCAGAGATGCTTCAGAAATACTGGGAGATAAATATTAAGTACTAAAATATATTTATTTAGGCTTCCATTCTTTATCTGTACAATCAAGAGTTTACACTAATCAATCTTAAAGTCAAATGTCTTGACTACCTAATGCAGCATTTTAATAAATCTGTGTGACAAGGTGCCAGAGCCTGTGCCAGGTTTATTACATTTGAAATCTTATAAAGTAATACGTCAATTAGTTAGAGAGAGAGAAGTGGGACAGATAACTTGTTCTCCCAAAACTAGTATTTGCTACACAATTTCTCAAATCCCTGTTTTACTGAAAAATAGGGAGAAAATGCAAAACTTTCCTGAGTTGCCTTGTTAACTAAGCATCCAATACTTCATTTTCCTTCATAGGCAACATTTCCCTTGTTATAACTGAGTAAAAGCATAAAGGAAAATGACCAGATCCAACTGCCAGCATAAATTATTAAATTACACTCCTGGGACCTTATAATTGCTTTCCTGCTATTGAATTTAGTCCTAATGAATACACAGTAATAAGCTGTTTTCTCAGTGTGAAGAACCAGGAGAGAAACAAGGATGATGTCCTATCTTTACAATCCATTAGCTGGTCAAGAGATTTTAATCAAGTAGAAAAAATAATAATCATAACGTGTCATGTACCTCGGCACCCAAGACTTTTGCTCTTTTAAGCTCTCAGCTCTTTTTGGAGTAAGCATCTATTGGAAGAGAAGAAAGGCAAGCTAGGCTTGAGGAGGGAAAAGATAAAGGATTCAATGGAAAACGGCTGCCATATTATAACCCGTTTAGCCCAAGTCAGTTCTCCTCTGTGCTTTCCAACATTGCTATGCAATGACTCCAGTTAGTTGATATAAAAATTTCCCTCAAGCAAGCCAAAGAGGCAATTATTAGTCACAATGCTTGGATGCAGCTTAGTCACCCTTGACATAAACAATCTTGGTCTTTAGCTTCCTTCCTGTTAAAAATTAAGCTTGAATAGCATTTCCCAAGCTGTGTTCCTGAGAATACTGGTCTCAAAAGTTTCTCCAAAACTCACAAAGCATTCAATGGAAGGCATGATTATTTACAACTCTTTAAAATGCATATTAGGGTATTTTAAAACTTTGATAAAAGAAACCTGTTATCTTCCTATAACCCAAGAATTTCCAAATTTACAACAGAAGGCTTTTTTTTTCCTACATAAAGAATATAAATCTTATGGAATTAGTATGCTACAAAACACAACTTGGCAAAACATATCTAAAAGAACGCCTAAGCCCATCTGAAGTCATTTTCAATTATTTCATAATTAATCATATTAACCAGGTATGCTTACTTTGGGCTAATATATAATAACAGTTGTACAGAAGATTTTCCAGTATATACATTTATTTCAATGAGAATTTACCATTATATCTCATCTCTCCCTTTTTTGTTATACAAACTCACCCAACCCTGGAAAATTGAAAACTGTGAGAAAAAGAAAGGACACAATTAAGGATCTCTAGAACGCTACAGGAAAGTCATTTTAATGAAAACAGATTTACTGATAAGCTTCAATGGGCTACACATTTAGCCTCAGATGTGCAGACAAACAAATCATCTGGTCAATATCCTGAAAGTTCTTATCTAGTAAGTGGTAGAAGCAACATGAGCGGCATAATGTAGGACATGCAAATATGAGTGATCTGAGAGGCTTTAGCACAAGAGGCAGTGGAGCCCAGAGGAGCCTGGCACATCTTCCTCAAGTAGATGACAAATTACTGAACCATGGTGTTGGATTCCTTGGGGGTACTTTTATGGTGTATATGATTTTATATTAAGGTTATTTCTCCCTCAAAGTTTTTACCTTTATCCTTCAATGATAGTGAGTTTCAAAATGAGGAAATCCGTGGTATAAAAAAAATCAAGGAGATCTGAAAATGTGATTGTCAAATGACTGTCAGAAAGAAAAAAAAAAAAAAGGAAAGCCGTACCATTTCATTAGATGGCTAAATTTCTTTATTAACTAGAAATTAATATTTTAACATCTAACTCAGCAGGGACTCGAGCAGATATAACCCCAAAGGGTTATAAAACCAGAAAACAAGATAATATCAGTTCCATGGATAAAAAAACATAATGTAACAAAGATAAGAAATAAGCATTTTCTCAACCAGAAGCTGCTTCTCACTCTCTTTTCTGGCCATATATGTATAAACTTATTTTTAAAAACATGGGAAAAGAATTAGTAGCTAAAATATATTGCCATATGAACTATTGTCTAAATATTAGCAAATTATATATTCTTTTAGAATGTGCAATTCTAACTGCTTTAAGAATGTTATGAAAAAGTACCATGGTTCAAACTAGATTAATTTTTAATGTAAATTGGTTACTAAATTTATCCCTGAACAGTTCATACTATAAATTATTTCAAATTTTAACACTAGTGCCACAGACTTTTCATAATATGGTCATGCTAATGTTTACTTAAGCACTTAAAAACTTCCTAAAATAGTTACACATACACATATATTTGAGCCCAGGTCCAAACACTATGTGTATCCATGGATATTCACACACACACACTCACACTTAAGAGTTTTATTAAAGAATAACTAAATTAAATCAACTAAACATACATTTCTCGGTCTTACCAACAGCACTGAAAAATACTTACATTGTGACTAAGGAGTAAAACCCCAGTGGGATTTGTCTGCTTTTAATAATTACAAACTCATACAGTTCAATATTCCCAAAGGCTACAAGCCCCCCTCAACAGGGCACCTAAAGAGAAATGCAACTACTATATTCAAGACACTGTGGTAAAAGAGAGAAAAAAAGGAAGGAAGGGAGAGAGAGAGAAAGGGAGAAAGAAAAAGAAGAGGGGGGAAAGAAATGAGAAGACACAATGTTGGTAAGAATACAGAAGGTTTTCTTTTCTTTTTTCTAAATCTGTCTCTGCATGGAAGCGCTACTTTCCTTCTATCTGTGCTATGTACACATACTATAACAAAGCTGGAAATGCTAAGTCACTCATACTAAGTTGTGACTCTACCTCTCATGTACAATGTTGTTTAGAAAAAAATCTCTGTCCCAAAAGGAAAGGGGCCTTGGATTCTACATCTGGTTGGGGAGGATTAAAAATTACTTGAGAGTTGACCAAAAAAATCTCTAAAAAAGAACTAAGTGAAAATTCACTGAGGAATTTTCCACTCTATTGGTTAATAAAACTTAGTAGCTAAGCAGACTCTACAGGGAAGTAAAAGAGCATAGAGGGAAAAAAAAAAAAAAAGAATTTGGTCAGTTTATGCATAACAGGCAATGTTTTTTCAAGAGTTGGCCAGAAAAATTAGCACTATTGTCCAAGTCCCAGATTTCTCTATGAGGCACCCTGCACTAAGATAAACAAGCATTATGATAAATCCTTCAACAACAAACTATACTCATGCAAATTTTGTTCATTTAATAGTAACAACATACCAGTCAGCTGAGAGTCACATTTTTCTCCGATAAAAAAATATCTTGGCATTGTAGCCAAATCTAATTTAAGGCATTAGCTAAAGAGTCAAAAAGTCTGAATGGTATTTTTAAAGGCTAGTCTCACTAAACAAAAAACTGGGAGATTTTTCATTTAATCTCTCCCCAGTACTGGGAAAAAGGGAGTATTTCAGTATTTCAGTAGCAGTGGATGCCCAGGTAGTGGGAATTCTGTAAAGGCAAGTAAACTCCTGAAGATCCCTCAGATCATACCATACTGGAATGTACTTAAGCCCATTCATTTTCCACCTTTTAGTCAGCATGTATCCTTATTTAAGAGAAATCAGAGTTGTTTTATTATAAAGAGCAAAATGCAGGGAAAACACCTGGCAAGAAAGCAAAACAAAAGAGCAATTATTAACTTAATATGTACCAGAGGCCTTATATATGTGATCTCATTTAAAGCTCACAAGAGCTCTTGAGGGTATGCACAATTAATCATGACTTTTCCATTTTGGAACCTGAGGTTCTGCATGGTTAAGTGAGATGCTGAAAGCCACAGCTAGACGTTCAAGAGCTGAGATTCAAACCCAGGCAAATCTAACTCCACTGTTTACATGTTTTATGTTGTGTCACAGTGTAAGTCAGAAGTGGTCAGGTCAGGGGACCTGAACTGTATAACTATTTCTCTGTAATCATATTATAGCTTGGGACCAATCAATTACTTCTTTAAGCATTAATTTCTCCCTCTGAAAATGGAGCCAATCACTACACTGCACACAGTGATTTCTGTACACAGCACAGTGAATACTTTACATAGGAATACCGTAATTGGTTGCTATTTAGATTCTACATGCCTAAAATAAAGTGTTTTGGTTTCTCCTTCTATCCAATTTTTATGTGAATGGGGAAAAAAAAATCACAGGACATGAGTAGCATTTATAAGAAGTCAACTTCATTACTCTGTTATTTTTAAAACAGAAGCTTTCCTGTCCACAAAATATAATCACTTCTTTCAGTTCCCAGTTTTATCCTCAAAGCAGTCTTGACTATAGAAAAGCAACACATCCTGTAGTAAAAAAGAGCTCCTATGATGAAAACAGGAAGGATAAAAAGTAATCCCTAATTCTCACTTGCAGTTCTGATTATCACATAATCGTGGTTTGTTTCTTGAAGAAACAGCTATATACACACACACCAGATGACACACTCACCTGGCATGGAACAATGAGTCTTGCTGACTCAGTAGGAGGATGACTTAATAGGAGTAGCAGTTTACTGATGAACCTCATCATACGTATTTAATAGGGTGATCATATTGTGCTGGTTTGCCCAGACAATCCCATTTTATGTAATTAATAGTGTCCCCCCTTTAATATTGACAAGTGTTTCTGAGTATATGGTCAATCATATGGTTATCCTACTATTAAAAATGATCAATCATTTTCTTCCTTAATATAATTAAAGACCGTCACCAAGAACAGCACAACAGATGTGAAGCAAGGCAGACACAGGATCAATGCAAATTGAAAAGGCATTGTTTGTAACAGATGCTGAAAAGAAAGACAAAAGCAAGTTACGGGTTAACTGCAAACTGAAGTGTTTTTACAAACCAAATACTATTGCTAATTTTAGTGATTTTCATCTTTAAAAACAATGTAATTTAAAAATACATACAGAATCAAACAGATTAGAGTTCTTTCGGGCTGCATAACATAGGAGAGTTAAATCATTAACAAAATAGAGTGAGAGCAATGAATACTCCCTGACTCTTACTCAGGTGACACTCAAGGCCTGTTCTTTCTAAAGTTATGGAATAACCCACAGACAGACACCCTATATTGGGTTGAATTGCATCCCCTAAAAAATTTCATTTCTACTAAGCACCTCAGAAAGTGCCCTTATGTGGAAACAGGGTCTTTACAGATGTAATTAGTTAAAAGGCAATCTTACTGGATTAGGATGAGTTCTCAATCCAATGACTGGTGTCCTTGTAAGACAAGAAGAGAACATAAAGATGCAGGGAGGAAGGCCATGTGACAATGGATAAAGAGACTGAAGCAATGCAATTTTAAGCCAAGGACTGCCAATGATTATCAGGAGTCACCAGAAGCCAGAAAGAGGCAAAGAAGGATCTTTCCCAATAGGGAGCATAGCCTTGCCAAACCCTTGATTTAGAGTTCTTAAACTCCAGGACTGTGAGAGAATAAATTGTTGTTTAAAGCCTTCAAGTTTGTGGTAATTTGTTAAAGCAGCCCAAGGAATCTAATCCATACCTTATGTCAAACTATTCATATCACCTTTTAACATTTCCCCACTTAGATCAAGGGGCAATAAAACAGCGGTCCACGGAGAGAAATACTTGGACTATATAACCCAAAAGAGAAAAGTTCTGCTGCCCATTCAGCAACCTTACACAGAGCCCATGGATACAGAAGTAACTGCTCCAGAGCTGAGCAGCCCTTCCTCCAAGCAGTGGAGGTGATTAACTAAGCTGTACCTCATCCTTCTTCTCCTGAATGCGTCGTCTCTCTGCCTCAATAGCCAGCTTCTCCTGAATTTCCTGAGCAATTTCACAGTCTTGTTGTTCACTAAAAAACAAAGGTGAAAACAATATGAATAAGGAACGATTTTTCCTAAAACAGTTTACTGAATACTCACTATGAGCCAGTATACATTTTTATCACACTTAATCCTCACAATAATGATGCAAGGAGTATTGTCATATTTTACGCATGAAAAATATGAGATCCAGAGTAGGGAAATATTTTCTCTAAGATCACAGATAAGTAGCAGAACCAAAATCTGATCCCCAGACACTACAATGGAGAGCTCCATGCTTTTTCTACACTACCATATCACCTTACCCTACTGGGGTCTTTTTTCCCAAGATTCTGCAAAGGAGATGTACATTATGCGATTAATATCCACAAATATCCAATATACATTATAGAGTACACAGAAAAAAACCATCAATAACACTATGGTCTTCTAGAGGTGATGGTATGACTTTAAAATGATTTTTGTAAATTTTTTAAATTTGGTATCTTTTTTTTTGTTTCAATAATGTTTTTAAAAAGAGGGAAAATGTATATATTCCCCAACTTCAGTTCCCAATAGGAACCTCTCTGGTTGATATAGTTTTCTTAATACTCTCACCACTAAGTAAACCAAATGTTATAATACTGTTACTACCATAGCTTTGTTTTGTTATGGCATTCAACAAAGATTTAAAAAATACCTGCTATGGTCCAAAAACTGCTTAACACTGAGGACACAGAAATGAGTAAATCTTTATCCTGCGCTCAGCAGCTCACAATATATTTTGGTGGGAGAAACAGACCCTTTATAATAGCACCTCTAAAATAGCAGTTCCAGCAGAAAATAGGGTTTGGGATGGCCACAACTATACAAGCCTTCTAGCTTCAGGTTTCAAGAAAAGCCAATGGGCAGCTTAAAACTCCAGAATGAGGTAGCTCTGGGGAGCGAACCTTCACAAAAAATGACTGAAAGAGGAACATAAACACGCTTACAGTTTACTATCTAAACAGGAACATAAACATGCTTACAGTTTACTATCCTAAGAAAGAGGAACATAAACATGCTTACAGTTTACTATCTAAAAAAATGCTGGAATAAAATTACAATAAACTTACATGCTGTTTGTTAAACAAATATATCCTCTCATTCTTCCTACTGACAAATGAACTTAAAACACTCAGTGAATCTCACTCTTGAATGCATATTCCATGTTTAATGGCAGTCATATAACTGAAAATTGTTGAGGGAGTGGGAGCAATATCCTAATTTCTCTGGAGGAATCAAAGCCCATATATTCTATTCTAACAAAATTGAGACTCAGGATAAAAATTATTCTCATTTGTAGAAGGGAATTGGCACTTTCAATATGTTTGGAAATACATAGACATAGATGAAAATAGATGTCTATACACACATATGGGTGTGTATGTATGTGTGTATATATAAACAAAACAAGGGAGTTAGAGAAAACAAAACAGAGAGCACAGGCCAGAGACAGCAAGACTTTTTGATTCAAGAGAAAATCTCCAGACAGGATGTCTGTCTGCACACCTGATTTCTGGTCCTACCACTGATAACCAGTGAATCATGCCCTCACATGTCATCTTATCAGCTTTAAAAGTTTTTAGACTTAATGACTTTGTGTACAGGTCTAGTATTTTAGGATTCTTAAACTATTCAAACCAAATAATTCAAAATAAACAAAAATCTACTCTAAACAATTTTTATTTATGTCCTTTTTATTCATTATCTTCTAATAGTTAAGAATAATACACAAATTCATGGTCTTAATTTTCAAAGACTTCTCTATCTGGATCTCCAAACTAATGTAAGATCTATACAGAAGTAAGCAACTACTAACTACATACAAGGTGAAAAAAGATGGGAAGGAAGCAGAAGCACAGCAACAGAGGCAAATTTAAAAGAAATGCTAAAGGCACTAGTGCCATAGATGTATAGCTTAGTAGAGAAAATAAAGTCAAGTTTAAGCTGAGTTTAATTATTCCAAACCCTATTTCCAAGAAGCACCAGTTCTAGTTCACTCAGTTAATTATACAGAATCCTGGGAAAGCAAAATCGAATGGGAAGGGATAATCAATAATTGGTATGCCTGACTTCAGACGGGGCCCCAGGATACATACAGACTGAGCGAAAGATTCCAGTTCATTAGAATCTTTAGTATTTCATCCTTCCCTTAATGTTCAGCTATCAAAATTGCCAGGGTGTGAAAATTGAAAAACTTCCTTTCAAACTTACTTATGCTAGCCAGGAATACCTCCAACACCTTGAAGTCCCGGGCAGAAATTAATACCTGGTTCTTCTCTAATTTAGGACCTATAATCCACATTCTCCTAATCATGATGTGTATTTTACAGTGGTCTGTTTCCATAATCTCTTCATAACTTCATTAGACTCACTATCATCACCCTAATTCAGGATCTTTAACTGCTGCACCAGCCTTAGAATTGACCTTCATCACAGAGAATTACGAATAAGGTAAAACGCAAAAATCTAGAACTCTAGAGTATTCTAGCTTTGGCTCTCATCTTAACACTGCTGGTGAAATCTGTCTCTTCTCTGTTAACACTACCCTAAATTCTGGCCTCATCATCTCCCTCCTCTACCATAATCATTCCTTGTCCTAAACTTAAGCCTTGTCATCTCTTAATCTGACCACTGTTCAAAAGCTGCTGTCAATCTTTCCCCCTCCAATCTTTTACCTATCCAGCCCCCAGAACAGGGGAGTCCCTAAAGGAAAATCCCAAACTCATTGGTTCTCTATTGTTCATCCTATAAAACCTACAAAGTGTACATTCCTAAAAAAACATAACCTTTATGACCTCTTGGCCCAGCTTCTGACTACTTTTCCGGCCTCCTCTCCTACCTGTGCCCCTAGCTGTACTCTCACTCCAGCAATACTGAACATCTTGCAGCTACCATGAAATTCCAGGTCCTTTCACTTCTTACCTTAATAAGTGCTATTCCCTCTGGCTAGAATGGTTTTTTTTCCCTGGTCATCACTATAAACTCCTAATTAGCCATCAAGGTTCAGATTAAATATATCATCTGTATTGGGATAGTTTTCCCAGTCTCCTCTCTTGTCATATGCATGAGATTTACTATTTAATTCTCTGCATCTTGTGCATGTATTTCTAGATACAGAATGCTCAGAGTTTCTTTCAGAGGCCCTTAATGGCAATGGGCTATTTTTTATTATTTTACATCAGTGGTTTCCAGTGCCTTTCATGGTGTCAGGTATAGCAAGTCGGTAAGAGTATTTATTACAAAATAAGAAAGCTGAACAAAATGGTGAGTAAAGTCATCTCTACAAATAGTAAAATAGACAAAACTTCTTCAAAGGTAGCAAAAATCACAGTCTTTCCTGGATATTTGAACATGACAACTAAAGTAAACTGAGAGGTACTTTCATGCCTTCCTTTGCCCCTTCCTCCTCAAAACAAAACATTGCAGTTAAATCCACCATTAGAAATTTAGGTATAAGAGCCCCTCTCAAAGAAGAAATGTGCCCTGTGAGCTTTTAAAACACTGACAAAGAGTAAAAAGTCACTATGCTGGAAGAGACCATAGACATGATCTTTCTATTTATCTGACTATTAAAGGAGAAGACTGAGAAAGAACTTTTGTCAAATGCTGAACTTATGAAGAAAACTGACTGTGCAATTCAGTTTTCCAGAAAGATTCTGTCTCTACCTGAAAAGCAAGGAGTTCAAGGAAAATAAGGAACAGAACACCATTAGGAAATAGTAAAATAATCCAATATGACTCAAAGTTCTTCGATAACCAGTTTTTCATTAGATCCCTCAAACAACCTATAAAGCAGAGGGGACAGAGAGTATTTTCCCTATGTTAGAGGTGAGGAAAATAGACTCAGAGAGGTGAACCAAATGGCTCAAAGTCATACAGTTGAAAGTGCTGAGTTCACAGCAGCATCCACATGTCCCAAAACCTAGTGAAGTGTTCCAATAACAAAGAAAACTTATCAAATCAAAGAAAACTACGGGACAGCTAAAATAGGATTTGTAGTCTAATAGTGCAAGAAATCAGAGAGACGGACAAACAACCTTTTTCTCTGCCCTGGCACGATTCCCTCCCACTTCCCAAATCCTCACAGGTCTTTGTAGTGCCTCTGGAGCTGAGCCTGGGCTTTCAGATCTTCCTCTTGAAGCTGCTTAGCCACCTGGAGATCATGCTGGACCAAACGGTTCCGCTGAATGTTCGATGCCAAATGATGCTCAACTGGACAGAAAGATTGAGGGGAGGAATTAAAAAGCCTTGGCTTGTTAATAATAAACCTCAGGATGAACTTAAGAAAGCTTTTCCATTAAAAAGAGCTTTACATTCATTAATCCTATTTTATGTTCTCAGCAATGTTGTGTAATAGGCAGCACAGGAATTAATTGTGCTTATCTTTCCATAAAGTAAAAAGAGGATTAGAAAGGTTAAGTAATTTGCCTTTGGTCACATGGCCAAACAGTGGCAGTGCTAGGACTTTTACACAAATATTTTAAAGCCAGAGCCAGTTCCCTTTCTGCTCCACAAGCTGCCACTCTATTCTGAACTACATTTTTCAAAACTTTTATACTGATATATGTATTAATGATTCACAAATTATATATTCACAAATACATGTTTTTATATAACACATATAGCTTAGATTTCCTTTCCATACATACATAAATATTTGGACATCACCTGGGAAAAGATGTTCAGGCCCCTCTATTAGGAAAAGGAACGGATCTCTATGCCAGCATTTTACACGCCCCGGATACAAGGATAATGAGTGTCTCCCTCCTACAATTCTAAAGCAACAGAGATGGTTCAAGGGGTCCCTCTTTTCCTTCAGTATATCCAACAGGTTTTTAATCCCAGGCAGCTGTCTTACTTCAAAATGCCCAACTTTATTCTTTACCCAGTGTCCTGTCATTTGCCTAGACAAACCCTGAGGATGGATGGGTAGCATAGTTCAGTGACTGCCTCACCCGAAGAAACCTGCCTCGAGCTACCAGTAAAGAAGAAAACCGATGGGAGTGTGAGAGAGGGCCATTACTCACTCTCTTGTTCCTGCAGGCTGTGAGCCAGGGTGTGGTCCTCTAGGACAGCAAAATCTCGGCACACTGCATAAGGGAGGAAGAGCAAACAGGAAGACTCATTGGTAGTATTTTAACATAAAAAGAAAAGGACTTTGTTTACTTCAAAAATCGATTCTAATATTTTAGGGTGATCAACTTTATAACTGGCAATGCACAAAATAGCAACCAGTGATTATAAAGTCTTCATTCACAAAGACTCACATAGTACCTGCTCAGTGCCAAGCACAGGAAGTCACAAAATAATGGTTAGCTCTGGTCCCTGGCCTAAGGATATTAATCACAGAATCAGAACACAGAAGTCCAGAAATTCCAATCCATGGCTACAAATGTAGGGCAAGTACTGCTTCAATAATAAAAGATAAGAATGTTTACATATTGCAGCTGAGAGAAAGCTGAGTTCTCACATGGTCGGAGGAGTTCAAGGAAATCTAGCTCATGCCTCACCCATCTGGGATTCAGAGGATCCTCCCCCAGAGACTTATGTCCTTAAGGGAAAGCACAAAGCACACCTTTGTTAGTCCCAAGGGTAGGAGATCTGTACACATTTTTTAATGGGTCCACGCCCACAGGTATGAGTTAGAACTGGCTTTTTGGGTCTCTCTAAATGTAGAGCTGCCTAAAAAGAATCTGCAAAACAAAAGAAAATGAGATCCTGGGAGTATACAGGAATCTGCCACTAACTTTGCGTCCACCTGAAGATTCAGGCAAGGGCATTTACTGGCCTGTCTTCTTGGAAGCAATGGGAAGAGACAGTCTTCAAGGTTCATTCTATCCCAAAATGCAATGCTAAACCTCTGCTTCTTAAAACAAACTTAAACACAAAACAATTCTTATATAAAGGATTCTTATCATGAAAAGTGCTGTTATTTGTTTTAAGGATATATAGTTTAGGTGATATGTTCTTACTCTATTCCAAACATGTAACTCCCATTAAAAAGGAAGACTCCCCAAACCTTCAGACTATTGCAATGTGTTCAGACTCATGAAACTGTCCCCGAGGGCTTACCAAGGGTTATAAATTTGTTTCTGCAGCTTTGGATTTGCCTGTGGGGAGACTTAACTAAAAGAAAATGAAAGAACACTCCTTTGCCATTCTTAGCACTATGCATGTTCACATGTACATTCCCATGGCCCTGTCCCTCAGAAATAATGCTACAAAAAAGTAGGCAGATCTTGGAGATGTCAAGACTACTTTGAAATGGTTTAATGGTAAATTTACTTTGCCTAAGAGTCATATTAAACTGTGTATGACCTGCTTGCCTCTTGCTAAATGGAACTGCAAAATTAGTATATAATTCCAGTATTTAAGTCCTGTTCTTTTGTCAGATATATTCTCAGAAAATTCTGACAACTTGGTCCTAGTGAGACAGGGACCTTGGGTGTAGTCAGAATAGGGTGAGGGCCTCCAGAAAAAGCAAAGCAGGATATTTAGTCAAAGCAATGTAACAATCGATGTAAAGTCCCTATTGAAACTGTGTTAAGCATTATGCAAAGTCAAGGTCACACTAATTCTCTAAGGTAAAGATACCAGACTAGGCATATAGACATTTTCAGTGAGATCAGTTAAAAATTAAAAGGCCAGGAGTAACTTGGCCTGGAATGTTTGAGTGCTCCACAAATAAAAAAGGGTATCTCAGCATAACCTGTGACTTCACTGTAAAGAGCTAGCAAACAGACAACAACCCAGCCCACCCTGGGGGCAGGGCAGGTGGTACAAGTCCATACCCTAAGCCCTTTATCAGTTCCCAAAAATCCTCAACTGCCTATAAATCCCCTAGACAATGCACCATCCCTGGCTCTCTTGTCCCCTCTGTCCTCTCACTGTATCTCTCATTAAAATCCTCTCCCTAGCTCTCCTACCTTAGGTGTTGGCTAAGTTCATTCTTCGACTCCGCAAACAAGAACCCAGGCATCACTAGTTACTCTGTATTTCACAGAATGAAAAGTACTTTCAAGATGAGCTAGTTAACCCTTTCGTTTAATAAGTGAGGAAAACAAGGACAAGAAAGAAGAAAGGGCTTATTAAGGCTACACATTGTGACAAGGCTAGCAGTCAGTTTCTGAGCCAGCAAGAACTCCTTCCTCTCCGGACACCAGGACAGGCCTCCTGGACTACAGGCAAACCATCATCAGAACAACTAAAAGGAGATATTCTTTATTGACCATAATGCTTTCTCTAAAACACCTAGCTAATATCAATCCAATTAGTATCAATCAAATTAATATCAATTAGTTTAAGAGATATGTATGGATATAGTTCATAAAAAGCAAATATTCAGAATGAATTAGCCAAAGTGAATGTAATCAAATATTGTGCATAAGAATGCCTTCTTAATACTGCATTATTTGAAGCATTTCTATTATACCACAAAGGCTTATGTTTGCATACTAAAGACAGTATTACTTTTAGATTAATTATGGTTAAATTATTTTTAGATTAATCTAAGTGTTTTTCAAATCATAGGTGACAACCTATTATTAGATCATAAAATCAATGTACTAAATCGGAACAAGCATTTAAAAATGAATAGGCTAGAAAACAGTATTACACAAATAGTACAGTAAACTATGGTTTGGAGAACTTCAGTTTTATAGACACAAACACAGGTATATCATATATATGAGGAAGCAATGTAAAACATTCTGTAGAAAAGTTTAAAAACCACTTTTATTTGTTATTTGGATAGAAAGTTATGACAAAACAATATATGTTTTTAAATATCATGCTGACTAAAGTAGAAAATTATAAAATAATTGCAGTTTTCCATGTGGATCACCATATGAAGAACCGCAATTTTATTTTTTTGCTTTAGTCAACACTAAAACATTAAAAACATAATGTTTATAGATACATACACCTGCAGAAAAATCCTTTGCCATTCTTAGCACTATGCATGTTCACATGTACATTCCCATGGCCCTGTCCCTCAGAAATAATGCTACAAAAAAGTAGGCAGATCTTGGAGATGTCAAGACTACTTTGAAATGGTTTAATGGTAAATTTACTTTGCCTAAGAGTCATATTAAACTGTGTATGACCTGCTTGCCTCTTGCTAAATGGAACTGCAAAATTAGTATATAATTCCAGTATTTAAGTCCTGTTCTTTTGTCAGATATATTCTCAGAAAATTCTGACAACTTGGTCCTAGTGAGACAGGGACCTTGGGTGTAGTCAGAATAGGGTGAGGGCCTCCAGAAAAAGCAAAGCAGGATATTTAGTCAAAGCAATGTAACAATCGATGTAAAGTCCCTATTGAAACTGTGTTAAGCATTATGCAAAGTCAAGGTCACACTAATTCTCTAAGGTAAAGATACCAGACTAGGCATATAGACATTTTCAGTGAGATCAGTTAAAAATTAAAAGGCCAGGAGTAACTTGGCCTGGAATGTTTGAGTGCTCCACAAATAAAAAAGGGTATCTCAGCATAACCTGTGACTTCACTGTAAAGAGCTAGCAAACAGACAACAACCCAGCCCACCCTGGGGGCAGGGCAGGTGGTACAAGTCCATACCCTAAGCCCTTTATCAGTTCCCAAAAATCCTCAACTGCCTATAAATCCCCTAGACAATGCACCATCCCTGGCTCTCTTGTCCCCTCTGTCCTCTCACTGTATCTCTCATTAAAATCCTCTCCCTAGCTCTCCTACCTTAGGTGTTGGCTAAGTTCATTCTTCGACTCCGCAAACAAGAACCCAGGCATCACTAGTTACTCTGTATTTCACAGAATGAAAAGTACTTTCAAGATGAGCTAGTTAACCCTTTCGTTTAATAAGTGAGGAAAACAAGGACAAGAAAGAAGAAAGGGCTTATTAAGGCTACACATTGTGACAAGGCTAGCAGTCAGTTTCTGAGCCAGCAAGAACTCCTTCCTCTCCGGACACCAGGACAGGCCTCCTGGACTACAGGCAAACCATCATCAGAACAACTAAAAGGAGATATTCTTTATTGACCATAATGCTTTCTCTAAAACACCTAGCTAATATCAATCCAATTAGTATCAATCAAATTAATATCAATTAGTTTAAGAGATATGTATGGATATAGTTCATAAAAAGCAAATATTCAGAATGAATTAGCCAAAGTGAATGTAATCAAATATTGTGCATAAGAATGCCTTCTTAATACTGCATTATTTGAAGCATTTCTATTATACCACAAAGGCTTATGTTTGCATACTAAAGACAGTATTACTTTTAGATTAATTATGGTTAAATTATTTTTAGATTAATCTAAGTGTTTTTCAAATCATAGGTGACAACCTATTATTAGATCATAAAATCAATGTACTAAATCGGAACAAGCATTTAAAAATGAATAGGCTAGAAAACAGTATTACACAAATAGTACAGTAAACTATGGTTTGGAGAACTTCAGTTTTATAGACACAAACACAGGTATATCATATATATGAGGAAGCAATGTAAAACATTCTGTAGAAAAGTTTAAAAACCACTTTTATTTGTTATTTGGATAGAAAGTTATGACAAAACAATATATGTTTTTAAATATCATGCTGACTAAAGTAGAAAATTATAAAATAATTGCAGTTTTCCATGTGGATCACCATATGAAGAACCGCAATTTTATTTTTTTGCTTTAGTCAACACTAAAACATTAAAAACATAATGTTTATAGATACATACACCTGCAGAAAAATACATATTTTTAATATATGTCATTGACACAAACTGAATTTAGAATAGTGGTCACCTATAGAGAGAGAAGCAAAGAGGCAGGAATGCCTTCCACCTACCTATATGCTGTTCTGTTTACAAATAAAATAGACAAGACTGAAGCAAATGAGGCAAAATATTAACATCTATTAAAGTTGGGTGGTAGGTTCCTTGGTTTGTATATTCCCTATGTTTTTTGTAATGTTATATATATATTTTTAATTCTATATATAAATTTTTTTTAATCTACATATTTTATTCCATCCACAGTATATATTGCTAAACCATAATAAGCATGAAAATGTTTGATATACATTACAGGTACAAGGAACTTAAAAACTACTGATTACG